TACAAAGGTCTAGCAGTTCGAGAGTGGTTCAACATTATGGAATGAATGGTTAGTTGTTCCTATCTTTAAAATGGTTCATGTCGTTTCTGTAACAAATATCTGGGGATAAGTCTGCTTCTGATTGCGTCCAAACTATTGGCTTCCGTCATACTTTGTTGGTTGATCAAAGCACGAGAAAGATGGACTCGCGAGGAGCAGGCCGGTTTTCGTTCTGGTCGAGGATGTATTGATCATATCTTCATCCTTCGCCAAATGTTAGAACACTGTCACACTTTCACAGGCCAACAATCGTAATGTTTTTTGACATCAGGGCTGCCTTCAACTAGCTGGACAGGACTGTTCTCTGGAATCGTCTTTTGAAGAAGAGTGTGCCTGAGAAGTTTATTAATATTCTAAAAGCCCTATATACATACACCTCAGGCAGAGTGAGGGCATGCAACCACCTCCCTCCATTGTTCCATTCGAGCAGTGGGGTTAGACAAGGGTGCCCAATCTCACCATTCCTCTTTAACTTTGCCATCGATGACATTCTGGAAACAGCTCTGATGGATGTAAGTAATGGGGGTGTGGATCTGTTGCCTGGAGAAAGACTTCTCGATCTTGAGTGTGCGAATGATATTGTCCTACTGTGTGATAATGCCCAAGCCATGCAATCCGCACTTAATCAGTTGGCAATCAATGTCCATAGGTACGATATGTGCTTTGCACCTTCGAAGTGCAAAGAACTTCTACAAGTCTGGCAGGATTCGAATCCCGTACTCACCCTAGGTGGTGAGCAGATAGAAGTAGTCGAGAAGTTCGTGTATCTGGGTAGCTGCATAAGTGCTGGTGGGGGTGTGAGTGATGAAATCAATGCACGAATAGTGAAAGCCAGAGCGGCTTATGCCAATCTGGGCCACCTTTGGCGCCTTCATGATGTTAGTCTGGCTGTAAAAGGTCGGATCTACAACGCGTCGGTGAGAGCAGTTTCGCTCTATGCTTGTGAGACTTGACCTCTCCGAGTTGAGGATGTTAGACGACTCTCTGTGTTTGATCATCGTTGACTCCGAAGAGTTACTGACATCCAGTGGCAACATCATGTTAGTAATGCAGATGTTAGGCATCGTGTGTTCAGGCACAGCGACGACAATTCAATTAGTTTCATTATCTTGAAACACAGACTTTGGTAGTTTGGACATGTACTACGAATGTCATCCCACATCGTGCATTATTTGCCGACGCCGGGACTGGTTGGAAGAAGCGGAGAGGTGGTCAGTGTATGACATGGTATCGTGGTATGAGAGCAAGCTATACAGGACTGGCTTCTATTGGCCCTTCACGACTCCCTGGTTGGGGTTCTGGAGACTATGCATTACTGTGGCTAGAGACGTTATCAGATATGGCTCAGAATAGAAGCCAGCGGAAATCCTGTTGTAACTTTATTTTACTCTCTTCATAAAAAATGAACGTAACTTCTCTAACTGGCAGAATTCTTTCTGGTTGTACCTTTTCTAACTGAACTGGTTCTTCAATTATTATTATTTCACTATCAAACACTGATTTCTGTTTGTTATTGTTCTCTTTTTTCTTATACGCACCTTACATTCTCTATCTCTTCACATTCTCACTGTTATTGTGTGACGCATATGTATTTAGTGCCCCTTTGTGCCAATATTTATGTGTTCAAATGAATAATAAATAAATAAAATAACTTCTAGCTAATTCCATGTTCGAAACAGTTTTTACAGTGATGATGACATCTCTAGATTTTTTTAAGAAAGCTTGTATTTCATTAATCTTCAAAATAACCAACACTCGTGCTTTGTTAATATATATGCCTTTAGTCTAATATGGTCAATTTCCAGAAATATTTACCCCAAGAAATTAAAGATAACGTTTCACAAGTTATTTGAAGACTATATACTAGATTTAATTCAAAATACGTCTCCAGGCAAATCAAAGAAATATCTGTGAAAAACAAACTGTTTAAGGATCATTGATTAAAAACAACATAGTGCTGTCTGTTTTGTTTTAAAAAATACATGTCAATGATTGATCTGTGCAAATTTCCTGATTTAAGCACGAACTTAAATAAGTTTTATATTAAATAAACAAACTAAATTTAAGTAATCAAAAAGTTGCTTGAGGCATATATCTAATAAACATATACGTGATGTAGTAAAAGTATTTTATAAATGTGGTACTGATTATTGAATCAATTAAAAACCAATGAACTAGTCTCGTTGTATGATACTTGCAGATAATTGGTACAGAAAATTTCTTAGAAACGGATCTTTCTGTTGTTCGAAACAAGTGCTTTTTTTCAAATGAGATTATATTCTATGAACTAAAGGATTTTTACAGCTTAGGTTTCTTGTTTGTGCTAGTCAACATTCTGAGGAAATTCTTTTGGATATTATTATTGATAATATATTGAAGACTATCAACACGTTGCATTTTTCTTAGCGATCCTGACACTTGTGATTGAATGCTAAGAATACCTAAGAATGTCTTTTATTCTTATTGGCTATGCTTCACATCCTTAAGCTAGGACAGAGTGAACTGTTGCTCAGTATACTCGTCTTTGATCAACAGACGGTTTAGTGTGGTTCACCACTTTGGTGGCTAGAGATCTGACACTCATTCGAACGAACGAATGAATATTCCATGAATAGAAATCTATTGTTCAGTTCCGTATACTACACCTAGGCTGACTCCGTTTGCGTGACGGCCAAATATGGATTTAGTTGAATGAGTTTATTTCAGACATTCGTTTACTCAGACAGACACTAAAAATGAAAAGCGGAAAAGTCAAGTTCACAAAATTCACCCCGATATAGCGTAATTCCTTATTTATAATCAGATAGAAATAAACTAAAGACATGTAATGAATGAAGTAAGCGATGAGCACACATATTTTCACATAAAAACAGTTAAAGTTATAAGCAAATAATTGACATGGTCAAAACAAGTATGGATAATGACTAGAGAAGAATAAATTAATTGGTTTGTACGAAAGCTGGAATAAGCCATGTAGGTGTCCCATAGTATTAAGCACTAGGAATTGTCTTACAGAATGTGAATCACAAAAACGGAAGTCGGAAATACTACAGCTAATTACATGTGAGGAAATATAAGCAGATATATATTTTACAGGGTTGTTATTAAAACAGTCAAATGTAATCTATGTATAACCCGACCGTTATTGCTACCTTGACGTGGTGGTCGGGCTTCCCTATCGTGATGAACTAATCGAGCTATACTGTCTGGAACAATCATTCCTCAAGGTCCTACCATGCCAGACAGGTTGGTTGAAGAGAGGTAAGAATAAAAGCAGAAAATCCAAGGTTTAAGGATGAAATCGTATTGCTGACTGTACAGAGGTGTGACGACGGTAAGGTGTTTCCTTCAGACAACCAGCATAACAGCGATGCTGCCTTCCCATAAGGAGAGGTGAGGTTAGAAAAGGTCGACACTAAAAGTGCACACCTCGCCTTATCCCATGGATATCCGTCTCGGGCGGTAAGGTCTCAACAAGTACGGAGCTAACACAAGAATTACTCATAAAAAGGTTGTGTGTGACCGACCTCAAGCAGTTGTCCCTTGGGCACTGCGGTCACGCTCTCAGGTCAGTAAGACCACCTCTAATCCAATTTTGTTTTCAGGCACCTCCAGAAGAACCCTTCCACGGTGTCGGCAACTGGGATGTGATAACTGCCCTCATACCTCTAACAGCACTCAACACTACTGTATTAATCTAAGTATAATCTAGACAGGATGTATTTGTTATCTAACCAAAAGTCTTAAAAAAGGTAAAAACTAGTTCTAGCTTATTTTTTGAAGATAACAATTTCAATTTAGATTATCTAGTTATAATATCTTTATATACTCCTGATAAATTTTGTTCATCCCTTTTGCTTACACTTATCTTCTTGTTTATGTGCCATAGAAAACTATCGTGATTTTAAACAATGTAACTCTACATCCAATTCTTTTTTAACCTGTAAGCAAATTACAGTTTAATAATTTCTGAAATCAATGTACCAACTTGATCAAATCCAAAAAATTATGACTTAAGCTGTCGAAATTTCTGAATTTTATTAAACGTTCATAACATAAATCTTATATAGGAAAAAGTTCAGAAATGATGAGTATAATTACTTTTTATTAGAAAGGGTTTTGTGCAGATTTTAGAAATTTCACTGATTGAAATCATGAGTTGATTGAAGCTAGACCACCATGGAAAGCCTGGAAGCACTGGATGGCCGTTTCGTCCTAGTGTGGTGTGTGCTGCTTATATTGATATAAGTAGTATACGTCGCGAGTTAAAACGTAATATCTGGCAGCAGAAGATGAGGTGAATATGAAGAAAGGAAGAGCGAGAGCACAATGGGATTGTAAGAAAACGCATGTACAATGGAATGGGAGACAATGGATTAGTGTTTGCAACGGGAACAGTACAGTTTGATATGATGGAATGATATTTTGCAAATTGACGATTGACTTTATGGTATTCAGATTTTATTGAGATAGTCTGTAATTTTTGTGCTGATTACATTTGATTGTCCCCACTCGTGTTCTGTTCACTACACTAGTATGGGACTCCTCGCTTTCGCACGCGAGACTGACAGGTCCTGGGTTTGAATCTCACGGGGTGCGGAGTCTTGGATGCGCACTACTGAGGAGTCCCATACTAGAACGAAACGACCGTCCAGTACTTCCAGGTTTTCCATAGTGGTCAAGCTTCAATTGACTCATGATTTCAGCCAGTATAATTACATTTTACAAATCATTTGATATTTTCAAACCTGTGAAATAGTACTAAATAATCATATTATACCAATGAACTTTATAGTATCTGGCTGTAAAATATAGTTTTTTCTAAAAAAAGAAAGAAAACTTATACTGCATTTTTCGAATATCATTATCGAGTCACATGGAAACAGATAAAGAATGGAATAATTTAAAGAGAAAGATTTTTTATACTATTTGTATTATATAAGTAATATATAATGAAATACTTATAATTTTAAATTTGATTTTTGTTGACGTAAATAAGTTAATTCAGCTTGAAGTATTTTTAATTCTTTAGTTTGTTCTTTAATTTTTTTAATAATATTTTGATGTTGAATTAATAGTTTATGTCGAAGTTGAGGATTATTGAGATGATCACTTTTCATATCTAAATATAAAAGGAAACGGTAAAAAACAACAACAACAAATGGTTTGTAGATTAAATGAAGTCATACTGTATTTTAGCGGAGAAAAAATAAACTTTCACACATTGAATGTATCAAGTAAATACTAACAATAAACTTTGAAATATTAAATATTTAAGAACTTTTATGTCACAAGCTTTTTGAACAAAGATGGATCAATTGCAGTCCTAAATAACAATGGGAAGATACAAGTAAAACAACATCAAGTGAATTTAAACTCCATCCCATTGCACAAGCAGGTGGCTATCAGGACTCAGTAGCTAAGTGGATAACGCGATGGCGTTGGAAGCGAACGATATTGGGTTCGAGTCCCATAGTGAACATCAACTCTAAGGTACAGGTACATCCAGCTGACGAGTCTCAAATAAAACGAAACGCGTGTCCTGGATTCCAATACTAGCTACTATCTATCTATGCTTAAAAAGCATGTGACTTAAGACTGTATCGAGGCAACCCTACAGGATGCACATATACCAATAAGAGACTGATCAATTTCAGTCCTAAATAACAACGAGAAGATACAAGTAGAACAACACCAAGTGAATATAAGAACTTTTGTCAGAATTTGATTGAATAGTTTCACAGTATTTGGGCGCTGAGTTGATGTGAGACAATGTTTGAGATATTAACTTGTTGGCTAAATACCATTAAGTTAAAATAGTTATGAATTGTAGTTGTGTTTAGGGGATGAAATGAACGCATGAATAAATTATATTAACTAAAAACTTTAATCAAACTATATATATATATATATATATATATATATATATATATATATATATATATATATATATATATATATTAACATCATGAAAGGAGCATTTGATGGTGAAAAATGTGAGCTATCGCTTAGAAGACGATATTGTTGATCCTGTCAAAATTACTGAGTAATTACACTTACAGATGTGAATGAAGTAGTGCACTCAAAATGTTAAGAAATAATTTTTAGATATTAACAATATTATATTAATGAGGAAGAATGTATTTGTCAAATCTCAGCGAATGAATTTAAAGTAAATCCAACGTTTCGCCTAGCAATGTGATCCAAGCTTTTTCAAGGAATTATAATCAAACAGCAAAATTATCGAATATAAATAAGTACATAGTTCTCTAGTTAACTATATACTAAATAGGTTAGAGACCCTGAATGACATGGCTCAAAATCGTTTGCAATGGCACAGGTGCATCCATTCTTTGTGTTCTCCCAAATTCTAATATTCTGAATTCTTCATGTCCCTTTTTTCCTCTTTCCAAATTTATTTCACTGGATTATACTCTTTAAATAACATCTCCAAACCCTAATCTTCCCGATTACTGCTTATACTCTTACTACCTCTACCACTACGGGATTTGAATCGACAACTGCATCTCTGTGCTAATGCGATGTACGGCAACTCGAACTGATGTACGTACGTACGAAGTTCTACGTTGTTACTGACTGACTGACTCATCTAATCAATGTTAACAATGTTTAAAGTAGATATTTGCTTTGGTGTGTAAGAGATATGTGGGGTAAAATGAAGTGTTACGAAAACAGATAGTGTGTATACGTAAGTGGTGTGAGAAGAAATTTCATTCACTATATATTGTATTTAATCGGTGAATTTTTAAGAAAAATATAATTTTTATATATGATATGAACTAAATGTCACAACATACATAAAATGAGGATAAATAAACAAAATGATTGCTTAGAACCGTTGAATGTCATTGTTGTTATTCAGATAATAAGAGACAGATAAAATGGAATAAGGAGTTCAGGTTTACTTACTAATTCCTAGTTGCCATAGGACAGCTAGTTGTATTCCATCTCTACGATTAATACTATTTGTATTTGCCCGCATGTGTAGAGCTTCAACTGTTAGTCTTTCTTTATAAGAATTAAAACCTTTTTTAAGGATTATTGTGCCGTTGAAATCAATTGTACAATCCGATTCTATTGAGTCTAATGCTATCGCTGATTTGTTGTCGAGTTTTCTTACATCATCTGAGGATTTGGGAATGTAGTTTAAGCACAGCTTGTGTTCCTTCACTCACACATTTAGTTGTCTTGATGTTTCACCTACATATGTGACATTACAGTCACTACATTTAATTTTAAATTTAGACGAAAGTTCTTATATATTAACAGTGTCATTTCTCCAGTGGTCACGATTGTTCGCTTTTTCAGTTAATTTGTTACTAAGCGTAGTTGAAACAGGTCATAAGATTGATCTTAGCTTTAATGGTTTGTTACAAAAGTACTGAAGGGCGCATACGAAGGCTTATTGAAGCTTTGACGATATAAAAATTTAAATACCCTTTATGTGTTCAAAAAGTTTGTTCTCATCCTAAACTTATCCTGGAATTATTATTTCCCACTGTTTTTAATACTTTTTTCTTAACTAACTCTATTTCCTCTTACCTTTCACTTGTCTAGTTAACTTTTTAATTCCTCATATATAAATTTTCTTGACAACTATATGTATAATCAGAAGGTTCGATGTCTTGTACTTATATATCACATAGTCCTTATGATCTTCGCCTTCTTATTACATTGATCAAGTTTATCAGAGGAAGTGACTTTTTTAAATTTCTAATCGATTTATAGTGTGTCAGTAATGCAAATCAAACAGACATTACTAACTATTTCGATTAAGCTAGATGAAGTTATTATATAGCACATATTTTGTACTCGTATTTTTATTTTTCAAAAAACCTAGTTCAGTTACCTGTAAATATCATCAATACTGTTTTAGAATTTAGCAATCAAAAGTCCTAAGAATATCATACATGCCAATATTCAGTTGGATATATTTTCGCGGGTGATAATTGTTGAAAAAAATGGATCAAACTTACTTTCTGGGTTAATAATTGTGTTTCATTAAATAAACATCATTATATAATGTCCCCAAATAAAATTCAAAATATTCCCTTTAAAAATGTCATATGATGTGTGATAGCCTTAAGAATTAGACAATTAGTTAGTCGTGATAAATCAAATACATATTTATCACGACATTTTATTGATGAAAACGGTAGAAACGAAGCTATGGTACTTTTTATTTGTCAGCACATGGGATCTCTTTCCTGATTTGAATACTTATAAATCATGAATCATGATAAGTATGGTTATACTGGTAGTCATTTGTAAATAAATACACAAATTTATTGACTTCGCTATAAAGAACAAAATATGTACCAAAGTTTAATCACTATACTATTTCTGATCCCTCTTTTTTCCCCTACCGTGTTCCTTGAAAACTAATATTCTTCTTAGCCTGTGATCCATATTATTTTGTTCCAGTAACTGTAAACTAGAACGATAAATTTTGTTGTAACTATAATCCCACGATTTCTAAGATAATTACTAATTTGATTATACACCTTTTATATTTGCATGAAGCAAATTTAACATAGTTTCATATATTATAGAGAATTATTATCATAACTTACGATTTTGTTCATGAATGAACTTCGTTTCATGTAAAACAACATTCATTTCTTCTATTTCTTTCTTGGCCTTTTCATTCTCTTTCTTAAGTTTTTCGCCTTGATGTATTTCATATTGGCGAAGACGAGCAAGTTTCTGAGCCATTGTTTTTTCGTGATTCTAATAAACAGTATTGATTATGAAATCATTATTTTTACTTCATAAACATTGAACAGTAATACAACTATCCATCTTTAAACAACTATTATACAAAATATAAAGAATTTTGGCGGTACCATGGTATGTGCTTCTGTGGTTTGTAAGTTTGCATAGAATCAGAACTCATAATATGAATCGTAAATATCACAGAGGAATCCAAATTTCTGATCATTTATACCATCATAAAAAACAAAATATTCACCAGACCAGGTGACCTAGTAAAGTAATGTTTCTGTATGAAATTCATGATCGGTTTCCGCTGTGGTCCAAGTGAAACGACGATAGAAGTTTCTAGTCGAATTTTTAAAGAGAACTATTTGAGTTCCAAGAGGAGAATGCGTTTTCCTAAATGTAACGGTAGTTCTTTATGATTAATCTTAACAAGCTTGAACCTTTTATTTAAGGATTTCAGTTGCGAAAAAATCAACGATAATTGAACTAGGAACTTTGTTTTCGATAATATCGTTTCCTGAGGCTAAGCAATCGTATGTGTATGTATCTAATATATTTAGCATTCTATCGGATAATAGAATGGTAATGTCATTTCTGTTAACTTATTTAAAACATCTAATGGCGAATATTCCATAACCATGATGATTATCTGTGAAAGTGAAAACTTGGAGACGGTAATAACGTATGAAAAGTGGAAAATGGTTTTGTTGAAAGAACTTCAGAATATAAGTAAGCATACGAACGTTACACTTATTATCGACACATCATTAAATATATAGCAAAATAAATATCAAAAGTGAGGCTACAATAATAGAAAGTGTACGAACTCTATATGCGTTAAAAGTTTAAGCATTTATAGATTGATAGTTTTTTAACGGTGAACAGACAAGTCACAATGTTGAAAAAACATTAATTTGTATCATCTCATGGTCACAGTGACTTATGTTCATTTTATTTTGTCTGATATTTGTATTTAGCTTCACAGAGATATATAATCTGACTGGGATAATTGTGTTTAGCTTTACAGCGTGTTAGTTATTCCCTGTATGGTTACTTTTTGAAATGATTATTGATTAAAAATAATTTTAAAAGAGCTTTTCTTTTCATATTGCTGGAACTTCAGATCATTCACATCCAAACAAAAAAAATGAAGACAAAAGGGAATATAATAATTATTAAAGAGTAATATTTCTAATTTCCATGCATCGACGTACAAATATGAGCTTAATATTTAACAGATCTTCAGAACTGCAGAACTTCAATTCGTTCAGTTATGTCACCATTAACGGTTGATAGCTAACTTCTGCTTTATCGATTTCTTAATTTATGTTATTTTATAAACAGTTCAAATCATTCGTTGACAACGATAAAAATACCACTATAAATAAATATAATAGTGGATATATGAAATTTTTAGCAGTAATCATCTTTATAGTAATTTTGGATTTAATTGTGAATCTTTGATTATAATCCATAAAAATGTAAGAAATACCAGGATAATATTAAATACAAAAGAGAAAACAAGGATTCTTACTTCTTGTAACATTTGAATGGTACGTTCAGTATTTGTAATTTGTGTATTGATTAAAGAATCATAATCATTTGATTGAAGATACTAAAAATGAGAATTATTGGTATTATGTAAGTAAATCAGTTTAACTTACTTTTCGTATTTCGCTGGTTATTTTAAATCTTCGTATATCGCCTAACTTGGTTTGTAAATCTTCATAATGCATTAACATTTCACTTAGTTCCCTTTACGTATACACATATTATGTATGAGATTGAAGTGATATGAAAGTGAATAAAAACTCAGTAAGAATGATAATTACATGTTTTATATCAAATGTTTAATTTAAAGGAAACAACATACAAAATAAATAGACTGAATGGTTCAATATTGTCAGAAAGTTCAGATAAACTCTATCCTTCCATTTCATCAAAGACAATATATACTTATTTTCATTAATCTTACAAAAAACATATTGTAAAGCAGTTTGAAATAATAAAAAGATAATGGTTACTTCGAATTATAACTTATTTTCAGTCAAATCCATTGAATCAGCATTAACACTTTCCTATAAGTTTCATGGTATGCATTAAAACGTTAAATCAAACGCTTGTGTAGAACTTAGAATTACTAAATAACAATTTTCAAAGGATTTTAGATTTGAAAAGGGTTTTGTGAAGATTGTAGTAATTTAATAGTTGAATTTATGAATCAATTAAAACGAGACCACCTTGGGAAACCTTGAAGCACTGGACGGTCGTTTCATCTTAGTATGGAACTGCTCAACAGTGCGCATCCATGAGCCCATTCGCGGGATCCTAACCCAGGACCTCCGGTCTCGCGCGCGAACGCTTAAACTTTAGACCACTGAACCGGAATCCAACGGTGTTAATGACTAACTTCAACCAATCCACGGAACTGCGCCACTGTCTACCATTGTTTTCAGTAAGTTACTGCGTCATAACAGACACGGTTGAATTCGACCAGTGCCTCTAGGTTTTATAAGGTGGTTTAGCTTCAATCGATTCATGAATTCAACTATTAAATTTTAAATCTCTAAAGTGTAAAAATGTGTTCCATAATAAATTTATATGATAAGAATATTCGATACAACATTTTTTTATAGAATCATTCAACTGTGTACTGTTCAAGGAAAATTGTCGGCGAGACTATAGTTTATGGATGAACCAATCAGGTATAAGATAACAGGTCTCGGATTTTAGCGCGAAATTCACCCATCCAATTGGCTAAATATAGTTTTGGCATTATAGCTGATATCAGTTTGTGATGAAAACCCTAAATCTAATTCCTAACCTTAACCATCAACTGTAAATCATCATTCGAATTCCTCACACTATTTTGTAACCCTCATTTGGTCTTAGTTATTAGGTGGACACTCTCAAGGTTACTTTAGTGTCGCTCAAAGGTCATCCATAAATTATAGTCTCACCAAATCGTCAGTTAATTATTAACAAAATATATGCTAGATGCGGAAAAAGTGAAAAGAAATATCTAATGAATGCAATTCTCGTGACTATCCCATAATTATTTATAACAAAACTGCAACAAATATAATTCATCTGATAATTATTATATACATATAATTCTCTTTATCTTAAAGAGAGCAAGAACGAAGATTGGTGCCGAATAATATGAATTTCGTTAGGTTCTCATCAGCTGCTTACAACCTATGTTATTTAAAATCAACGTTATTACATATATTGACATACTTAAACATACGAGGGCGATTAAAGATGAATATGTGTATCATGATGTACCGGAGATTTCAATAGAGTTAATAAGGTCATAAAAATTGTTTGTTTCGGATAAATAAATAAAGTTTAGGAAGGAGAGTTCAAGACACTGAAATAGTGATTAGAACTCATTGAGTTAACTGACTGATTTCAATTCATAACTTTATTAGCATTAATCTGTTTTCAGTTGCTTCGTTACACAATCATCTAATGTTTGTTAACCCCATGAGTTCTAATCACTAGTTCAATGTTCTGGAACTTTCCTTCCTAAACTTTATTTATACGAAACAAAATTTTCTATGACCTTATTAACTTCATTAGAATCTTCGCTACATCATGGTATACATATTCATGTTTAATCGCCCTAGTATTTATATATGCCAATATCTGTAATATATATAATCATTATCTTCAGTCACTTTTTAATTCCAATATGAAATAAACAGTTATATTATAAGTTGAATTAGTATTAACGCTAAAACTTATCTATAACAGTAACCGTTTCAAATCAGATTCACAGTTCTATTTTCTACAACTTTAGCTCATAATATTTGTAAATAGATGAAAGATATATTTTATGGAATTCATTTAAGCAAAGAGAAAATCTATATAACCTTAGATGATATAGTTAGAAGACAAAAGTTGTTTGATCACTGAACATTTGCTATTTCTCTAACTAATAAGATCAAGTGATAAAAACTTATCTTCCTTCATGAAGGGCGGCCTGCTTGAGCATCTGGGCTACCTGTTCCTGCCATCTAGATATTTCAACAAGTTAACTATTTTTGTTTGTTTTAATATATCATTATGTTTATTAATCGCATGACCTATTCTGCTGCGTTTCTGAAAAGTGTACAACCTTTCGTTGTCAAAGTTACAAAAAACTCAATAAGAGACAATGTGGTTGCTGGCAATATACAACGGAAAGAATGCACATTATTCAGATGTTCATTTACTGAACTGCTAACATCTAACTGGCGATCACTCAATATTTATCGCCAGGACCGACCAAGAAGAAAGAAATGGAAACTTGTTGAAATACTTTACACTGAGAATTCTATATTGTATCAAAAATGTAATACTGAATAAAGCTGATGATAATAATAATAATAATTACCATAAACATAGTTGAAACTAATCATAGGAATGACCTTAACTTTTATAGCTTGTATGAAAATGAATACTTTGGTTTGTTAAAGTCTTGTCATACAAAAACAGTAGTTGAAACAACAGTAGTTTACATTTATTATTCATCCCCACTAATTTTAATGAATAATTAATTAATTAAAGAAATAATAATTTCTGCACTCCTCAAAACTGTCGCCCAATATGATTAACAATTTACAAAAATGATATGGTTGCTTATTATGATCTGAAGAGGAAGAATGTAAAAGCCAATAATTCATGCAGTAATTACATTTTTAGTAACAATGAGCTCTAATCATCACGTTATCATTAGTTTAGATTCAAATGTGGTTACAGCCAGAGGCATTTGGTTTCTCAGGGCTGACATAAAAACGTTTGTAGTTTCTTTCTTCACTATTAACGATAGATTTTGAGAAATGACCATAAGTATCAAACAATTAGTGATTGATTTAAGTGTTATAGAAATATATACTCACTATGCCTAGATGTGCACTTTTATTTCATCCAAATAATATAAAGATATAAAATCATTTGAAACGAATTATTTCTGACTATAACCACGGTCGAACTTGAATCCAAACTCCGAATATTGGGATTGCTAAAGCTCATTGTTATTAAATTGGCAATCATTGAGTAAATTATTGGCTATAGTGTTCATCTTAAAACTTTATTGGTCGAATGTATCATTTTTGGGGAACAGAAAGGGGAAAGGTGCAGAAAATTGTTCATTAATTGAGGGGTTGAGTGTACATTATAAATTTAAACTACTGTTGTTTAAATGTTTATCGTTTCCCTCAGGTTGTTATGTCTTTATATATGTATGAAAGAAAAATATATGTGTATTTAGATATATCGAGCGTATATTTCGATTACACTTCAACTCATACCTCCTTTTTCAATGTTCATGGTCATACCCTAAGAATTAATTGTAAAGGTCAAAGGAAGAAACCCACAAATTTTTTTAACGTAAACCCATAAATACTCTGCTCTGTTCGTTCAAAAACATTTTGTACTACACAGAACGTACTCTAGAAATAATGATTTATTTCAATATTCAGATTAGTGTGATTCATATTGTTTTTCCCTATTATCTTTGTTTTTCTTATATTCTAAATTTGTCCAGTTTGACCTCTGTTTCTTAAATAAATATCTTAGTAAGCTGATAAGCAATTAAAATATTCCAAGTATACTTCTCTAATGAAGTTGTTTTGACAAACTTTGTCATTTAATTGAATTATCGAAAATTGTAAGATCTGTACTTACCACTCAAGGTGATAAAATCTTTTTTTAAATTCTTTATTTCTTATCATATGTGATACTTTTGATTCGCCTAATACAATTATCTGTTTATTCAATTCTTCAACTTGCTCTCTTTGTATTAATAATGCATCATCATAATCATGGAGTAATGTGAATTGGTTAATATTAACTTCAACAAATCCTTGTTTTATTAACAATTGTAATTCTAAATTTGTCTGATTTCGATTATAATCTTTTATTAAACTATCTAATTGACACTTTCTTTCTTCTAACAATTTATGTAATGATTGTAAATCACGATCACGTTTCTAAAATATAAATCAAATACAGAAGATTAATACATATGAGATTGAAAGATAGGAAAGTATTAGTTTATTAAAGTAAACTTTAACCTATGTGAAATTTATTTATTGTGCAAGAAATGTATTTGTTAACCGCTAATTTGAATTTGTGATAAAAAAAAGCTTACTGGTAATTACAGATGACAGATGATTGAATTAAGTTAATTATAATACTTTTGATGTATACAAAGATCAAGCTATTTAATTCGTTACAAAATTTAGCATACAATTAAATGACAGCCTTTAATGTTAAATGATTTGTACCTATATTACTATTAAGGGTTTTAATAATCCCTTTGTTAAAATTCTTGACTGATCTTCAATTGATCTTTTTTGGTACCTGTGAGTTATATGAGGGTTGCTTCGATAAAACCATTATGTTACAAGACTTTAAGAATAGATGGATTGAGTCTACTGGTAATATATCGGTTGTGAATTTAATTCTATACATGAATCGTAAGCCGGATGTAATTGATCTTTACACTGGGAATTGAACTCAACGACTTTCTTACAAACACCCTGATCTGTTGAATTTAGATAGTCACTGACTTGGTAAACGGGTATGAAATTTATATCATTATTAGGAAGGTTTGAACTATCTTGTTGTTGGTTGCATTGACCGAATCTTGATCAGTTTTTGTTGGTAGGAACATCCAAATTACAAATCCAAAAGTACAGTAACTTAAGTGAGTGAATGGAGAACAAACTATAAATTGATTCACACAATGCTAGAAGACTTTACAGTCGTTATAAGCAAGATTTTATTGAACCGAAAACTGTGAATGAACAACTAGTCAGTATCATATAGTTTTAATTAGTCATTTGGCAGTTGTCAGTCTGCAACGAGGACAATTAGTTAATTATTCCCATTTTAAACCACGACTGGTGAATAGTTAACCTTAGCTAATCAAAATAGATGAATTCTCATATGAGTATCATAAAGTTTAAATAAATATAGTCATTAGAGAAAAATGAGAATCACAGTGACAATTAATACGAAATACGTTTAGTAGCAGTCAAGTTCTACTTGAAACTTGTTGATTACTCAAAGTTATATTCTCTTAAATTAACTAACGTTCAAAATGACATTCAACATGAGCATAAAACTGATGAAAATGCGACTGAACAGCTTCCTGTATCAAATTTAAGTTCACTCAACATAACGCACAAGGAACCTTCTTATATAGTGCAGTGATTAAATCAAATCTTGCATTGAGGAAGTTTAATTACAGAATGTTATCAAAATGAGCCGAAAACACTTCAAAATTGCATGAAGATGATTGTTAGTATTATCAAAGAATATCAGTCGAATTCATTCCGAATTAATCTTTACAATGTCATCATTAGGTCATTTGTTTACTTCAAATATGTGTTTACCTAGAGGAACAGTGTTATTTCAGCTACGTGATCCTATTAACATGATATAGCTGATCATCAAGTAGGAAATCTATGTTGAGGTTATTCTATGTTATATTTGCGAACTAGTGATCATCACATATACTAGCAAAAAATTACAAACCTTGACAAAGTTGTATCACGATTTAAAATGATACACTATACAATGAAAAAGAATTTCTGTAAAAATAAAACTGATTTTGGGTCTTATCATAGTTGTCAGGAAATCTTTGCAAAGATTACAAAAGATTACAAAAAGTCGGAAAAGCTGAGTTGGATTTCCGTCTTATTGTTTCGTTCATGCAAATAACACAAAGAAACTCTAATCAATATCTCTGACTAAAAGAATCTGCGAAATTCGGTTTCTAGTTCAATTGATTAATATTTTGTAGAACAGTTTTTACACATTTCGAAACATGCAAATACAGAATACATATACGTTGACCAAATTATAAAAGTATTTATATCTTTTGTGTCCTGAATAAAATTTCTAACACAAGGACAAATTGAAAGTTAAGGAAGCTTGTTAAAATTAGCAAACAGAATTGACCAGCTAATTTACAAATGGATCATATGGAAGTGATATTCATATTCATTAGTACATAAAACACCATAGAGCACTGGATTACGCAGAAACTCAATCTTACACGAATAAAATTTATAATGTCATCTAGCTTCTGAGTGGCAAATTTAATTTCCAACTCTTTATTAATCTTCCGGCGTCTTGCTGCACACAACCTACTCCATAAAGCGTTATCACACCCAGGCTGCTGTTCACGTGAAGAGTCATTATCTAGTTCTACCAGACTTTCTTCTAGTAAGCTAGTTTGTTTGGTTGACTGAGATGATTGCCATATTTTTTCGATATATGGATTTAGTTGTTTAGAAAATTGTGCATCCTTTCCAGTCTGATCAATCTTTTTCTCCAAAGGAGCTAAAAGGAAGTACCTTTAAAAAAGATAGGCAAAATATTACGAAACAGTGGATCTGATTTATTGTAGGTATCAAGTAAAAATAAAACATCCCTTTGGCGGTTAAAAGGTAAATATTTCCCAAGTTAACTTCTACAAGATAATCAAAGTCTGTACTCGTCTGTGAGACTGATTGATACTTATCACCAAAAAACGCATTGACTGAAGTTGTAATGAAATTCCTTTTATTTGAAATCATCTATCTAGAGGTTGGCATTCTAGTGGAACTCCATCAAAGTACTGATGTGGTGTATGCTACTCATGGGTACAGGCATAAGTAGTATGTGGCAGGAATCGGAGGTGGAATGCTTACCAAACAAAAGATAGAAATAAATAAAAGAGGAAGGAAAACAGAAAGCAACCAGAATAACGACAAGATTTAACGGATGATGAAGTAGTTAAAGAACAACTCAGGAAAGATATGCAAATGATGTACTAATTGTATGATTTTCATATTCTGCATAGTCACTGTGTAATTTCGTCTAAATAATAAACTGGTTTTCGCCTTCATGTCTTCGTCCAATACTTTGATATCTTGAACCAGTCTAAATTTTCAATGTCAGAAATCAAACACTGTGTCAAGGGGGTTACTTAACATGGAATGAAATTATAGTCTGCTTATTGGAGAATTTTGGAAGCGTTAGCATAATACAGTAACTGTAAATTTATTTCAAATCAAATTTGTTAACCTACATTACATTTCAAAAATAAGGGTTCATTGTGTATAAATTAAACGATATCAGTCAGTAAATTACATTAATAGAACATAAAGACCAATCATCTGGTACGTCTAAATAATCCATTTAGTGGCCAGAAAGTTTCCTTTGTTAATTCATAAAGAGCTCCTTTAAAATTAATTAACAGTGAAATTTCATTTTATAAAATTTCCTATATTTATAATCTCAAAGTTGTTTGACATCAGATCGAAAATGTAACCTCACTGAGTGTATTGATAATTATTTATATGAGAATATTGAAGAAGAAACTTGTACTTACTTGGTTTTCCTAGCTAGTACACAATATTCTTTAAGCATTTATCGAGTTGCAAAATTTTCAAGCTATTATAGAATTAATAACCTTAAATTACGGTTAGATATCAACTCACTGAAAATGCAGTTTAAACTGGATGAATGTCACCGGTTATACGATATATTAATTAGATTTTTATTATCCAATATACTACTCATAAAAAAGTAGTTTAGACTAAAGTTTATGACTTGATAAAACTCGATATAGTTGAATAGATTTATGTTACAATACTTAAAAGAGTAAAAAAATGCATGTCTGAATATGAAAATCATTAAGTTGGGTAACATTTCAGGCTAAAATATATCAAAATATAATTTAGGTAAAATAAGTTGATCATCTGACCATTACTTAACCAACTTTAAAGCTTGATAGTAAAGATTAATAATCCATACACTGCTGAACAGGTAGGAGATGTATTAGTATGTAGTTAACTATAAATTAATGGTACTGTTCAAAATTATGTCAGTCACCTGATTTTGACAATAACTTAGTTTTACATTTGTTTTAGATGCAAATAATCCTACAGAATATATATGCATTCTATACTCTCACTTTTGAAGAAAAATGTCATTCTTCTGTAGTCCGCTTTACATCTTAATTATTTTAAACAACAAATTCCAACAAGTTTTATTTGAAAAAAATCATTTAACTATTGTTATGTCTTGGGACTGTCTACCCATTTTTGGTGCTGAGGCTACTTATTTAATCCAGATTAAGACCTTGGCGCGATAGGCTGACCGACCTAACCTTGAGGCTAGTGCGCGTGAGTTCGAAATGGGGTAGAGAGAAGAAAACTATTCTATCACCTGATTGGCTGACAAGCACGCGGATGAGAGAAGACAAGACAACGGGAACACTACTCGATCTATTCCTGATGTTCTGATATACTGATTTCTTCTGATTTCAGATTAGTGTAAAAAGGTACATGAATAAATAAGTGACTAACCCGACCACAACGTACAATAATTAGGAAAAATACAATTATGTCCAAAGATGGGAATTAGAGTAGAAAATAGGGTGCAAAATATTATGTTTAAATTACAATAGCTTCGGAATAGAAAAGGGTATGGCAATGAATCATACATCGAACGAGAGCTTATGTTTTGTAGAATAGATTAGGGACAAAAATAAATGCTAGTGTTTTACAAGCTTTGCATAAAATGAAATAACGTCCCGAAAAATAGCTTTCATAGTTTGTCAGAGCTTCTTGTTTCCCTGTTCATAACAATTATAGATTTATAATAAAACAGATCAGAATTCGAGGAAGAATGCATCTGTAAAATCTCAGCGAAAGAATCTGAAGTAAACTTAACGTTTCGTCTGGCAATCTGGTCCAAGCTTTTTCAAGGAATTTGGTTTCAAAGAAATTTCATAACTAATCTAATAACTCACAGTAAACGGATACTTTTGAAATCTTGTTCAGATAAAAATTTAGACCGGATATATCTTTCATTATCAAACTAACCCGACCGAAGCTGCTACCTTGACGCGGTGGTCGGGCTTGCCTATCGTGATGACCCAACCGAGCTATATTGACTGGAACATATGTTCCTGTAGGTTCTACCATGCCAGGAAGGTCGATTGGAGAACGGTAAGACTAAAAGCAGCAACTCAAGGTCTGAGGGCGAAGTCGTACTGCTGACTGTAGAGGGGTGTGACAACAGTAAGGTGTTTCCCTCAGACAACCAGCATGACAGCGATGCTGCCTTCCCACAAGGAGGGGTGGGGTTAGGAAAGGTCGACCCTAAAAATGTCACACATCACCTTACCTCACGGATTTCCGTCTCCGGCGGTAAGGCCCTTTGAAGAATGGAGCAAACATATTGAAAACCTCCCACACAAAGGTCGTGAGCGGCCGGCCTCACGCAGTTGTCCCTTGGGCTCTGCGGTCACGCCCTCAGTTCGTTAAGACCAACACTAATCCAATTTCTTTTTCAGGTTCCTCAAAAAATACCCTTCCACGGTGTGGGCAGCCGGGAAGTGATATCAGCCCTCATACCCGTAACAACGCACGAGACCAAGTTGGTCACATTCAAATCCTTCCTATACCTCCTAATACCTCTCTTATCTCCATGACTAACCCTCCTCACGTCTCTTTATCGCCTCGCACCGCTAGGGCAAACGATTCGAGTACGTGGAACGCTATTCCTGGTCTCCTGGAACCACGCTCTAAACTACACGTAGGAGCTTTTAATGTCCGAACACTGTGTCAAATAGGACAGCAGGCTTCCTTAGCTAGGACTTTAGAATCTCGTGCCATCCATGTGTGCTGCGTCTCCGAAACGCGCACACAGGATCCGAGTAGCGTTATTCATTTGACATCACCATGCCAAAATAAAGAACCAACTCGATTCACACTTCATGTATCTGGAAGCTCTGATTCTGCTTCCCGTGACCTCGCCGGCGTAGGTATAGCATTGAGTCCTAGGGCAGAACTAGCTCTCTTAGAGTGGATCCCAGTAGACAGTCGTTTGTGCGCTGTCCGACTGAACGGAATAGTAAGAATCCGGAATGATAGGGACACTCGTCGTCTCTGCCTATTCTCCCAATGACTGCAGCTCAGATGATGTAGGAGATGAGTTCTACAGAAAGCTCTCCGACCTTCTCTGAAAAGCTAGGCGCTCTGATGTAGTAATAGTGGCCGGTGACTTTAATGCTCAAGTAGGCAAACTAGACGATAGGGAAAGACACCTGGGTGGGTCTTATAGTATCGTGGCTCAAAGAACAGATAATGGCAACCGTCTGTTGCAGCTATGCTCAGATAACCGCCTGTTCCTTGCAAATACTAACTTTAAGCACAAGGAAAAACATCTTTTAACATGGCGACCCCCTAATTCGTCCCAACGTTGGATCCGAATAGATCACATCGCTATCAGCCACCGATGGAGGGGCTCGATAGAAGACTGTCGCTTATTCTGGAGCACATGCCTAGATTCAGATCATGCTCTAGTACGAGCGCGTATTTGCTTGCGTCTTACTGGACGTAGGAAAGACGCTGCAAGGAAACCTCTTAGGGGCCTACTTAATGGTAGTCAAGCTAAGAGTATATTTCAGGAACAACTAGGTCAGTCAGTCAGTCAGTCAGCTACAACGTAGGACCAGGCACATATGTGCATCGGTCCAGGTTGCCATACCTCATTAGCACAACAAGATGAACACCGGATTCATAGGAGTGGTTAGGTTAGGTTAGGAAAACAGTTAGGCAGCCATGCATGTGAAGCCCACCCCGATGCAGCATGGAATGATATCCGAAAAGCTGTGGAAACAGCAGTGATATCTGCTAGTAAGGTAAACCAGAAGGTTAGGGAGAAACACTGGATCTCAGCAGCATCTATCGCACTGATAGATGTTCGGAAACTCATTCCACCTGGCTCTGAACATAATGAAGAGCGGAGTCAGCTTAAGCACAAGCTGACAAGAAGTCTACGCAATGATCGTGAACAGTGGTGGGTAGCGAAAGCAAGAGAGATAGAAAAGGCAGCGGCAAAAGGTAATAGCAGACAATTGTTCAGACTTGTTAGGGAAACCGGTATTAGGAACCCGACTGTTATCGAAACACTCTCAGAGAAAGATGGACATATTATTCATTCTCAATCCAGGAGATTGGATCGATGGGCAGAACACTTTAGGGATCAGTTCAACTGGCCTTCAGCCACACTTCGGTTTCCCACGATCTCCAGTCAACCTGAATGGCAAGTTAATGTAGGTCCTCCGTTCCTTTACGAAGTTGAAAAAGCCATAGGAAATCTGAAACGAGGGAGAGCAGCAGGCCCTGACAGGTTTTCTCCTGAGATTGTTAAGGATGGTGGTCCAGTATTAGCAATGAGATTAACTGAGGTCTTAGGTAGAATTTGGGAACTGGACGTAATCCCATCTGACTGGTCTCAATCACTGATTGTGCCAGTCTATAAGAAAGGACAAAAGTCCTCTTGTGACAATCACAGAGGAATCAGTTTGACAAATATAATGTCTAAAATATTAGCTTCAATAATACTTCGACGTCTAACCAAAGCTCGTGAAGAGCAGACTAGAGAAAATCAGGCTGGTTTTCGACCTGGACGTGGTTGTATAGATCAGATATTCACACTACGTCAGGTTCTAGAACACAGACACACATTCAGACGCCCCACAATGGTAGTATTTCTCGAACTTAAGGCGGCATTCGACTCTGTTGATCGTTACGTTCTATGGCAGTGTTTGTCACTGAAAGGAGTACCCAAGAAGTACATTAACCTTATAAAGGCTCTCTACTCGAACACAACTGGTCAAGTGAGAGCTTATGGCGAACTGTCATCAGAATTGATTACCTCAAGTGGTGTTCGTCAGGGCTGCTCACTCTCTCCATTCTTGTTCAATTTTGTCGTCGACGTACTTTTAGAGATAACACTTTCCTCGTCTAGATTTTCAGGGGTTGAACTTCTACAGGGAGGTTCACTTCTTGACTTAGAATATGCAGATGACATAGTTTTATTTGGTGAAGACACTGACAAAATGCAGAGTCTTCTGACCACTATAAGCAACAATGCAAGCATGCTCGGGATGCGATTCCCTCCCTCGAAATGCAAAATGTTGCTTCAGGATTGGGTTACATCGACACCCGAACTAGTGATAGGGAGCCAAGTAGTTGAGTGTGTCGACCGCTTCACTTATCTGAGAAGTCTCATCAGCCCTTGTGGTCTGGTCTGTGACGAAATCTCAGCACGGATACAGAAGGCTCGACTAGCTTTTGCTAACCTGCGTCGTTTATGGCGTAGGCGAGATATCCGTCTATCAACCAAATGACGGGTTTACTGCGCAGCAGTTCGTCCCGTCCTACTTTATGGCAGTGAAACATGGCCGGTAAGTGTAGAGGATATTCGTAGGTTACTAGTATTTGATCATAGGTGTCTTCGAAATATTGCTCGTATATCATGGGACCATCGAGTAAGTAACTCAGTTGGTAGGAAACGGGTACTAGGTAAGGATGGCAAATCAATTGATGAAGTAGTGAAACTTCATCAGTTGAGATGGCTGGGACACGTGTTACGTATGCCCAACGACCGACTACCTCGACGTGCGATGTTCAATGGCATAGGAGTAGGTTGGGAGAAAGCTGGGGGTGGCCAGACCAAAACACGGCACAAGTCCATGAAGTCACTGACAAGTGAACTGAGCCATGTTGGTAGGTGTAGACTACCTGGTTGGGGACCGCGAGATGATAGCAACCGATGGTTAGAGACCCTGAATGACATGGTTCAAAATCATTTGCAATGGCGCAGGTGCATCCATTCTTTGTGTTCTCCCAAATTCTAATCTTCTGAATTCTTCATGTCCCTTTATTCCTCTTTCCAAATTTATTTCACTGGATTATACTCTTTAAATAACATCTCCAAACCCTAATCTTCCTGATTACTGCTTATACTCTTGCTACCTCTACCACTACGGGATTTGAATCGACAACTACATCTCTGTGTTAATGTGGTGTGGCAACTCGCACTGATGTACGTACGTACGAAGTTTTACGTTGTTACTGACTGACTGACTACTGACATTCAGGGGATATTTTGTAGCTATTTTGTTTTACTTTCTCGTATCCAAACTTAATGTTAGTGCTCAAAGTTTCATGTTGCAGTAAATATTTTTCCGCTTAAAGGTCGTCTGTCCATTATGGTATATAGTTTAATCGGGTTTATTCTAATTATAATATGCTTTCAGTTCAGTATATAGGTGATGTATACACTACCAAATGATCAATAGTTAATAAAAAGAAAATTTATGACCAACTAAAAATTAGTCTTTACAGTTGGTAATACTGACCATACCATCCATCAATTCTCTGCAGGCTGTTATGAAAAAAATATCATTTTGTGTTTAATCTGAGATGAATTTCTATCTTATCACTGTCTTAGCGCGTTAGGATTAAATTCGTTAGTCTTATACAAATACAAATAAGCTCAGTAAAAACACTTCACATTTAAATATTTCTGTAGAAACTTCTGGAGATTACTGAATCCTCATAATTTACATTACATAGTGATCTTAGTTAAAAAGATATTTTAAACTGGGAAACATTAGACAGCTGTTTTATCCTAGTGTAAGACTCACGGGTCTGCATCAACATCCCCATCGGGGATTGAGCTCTTGATTTGTAAGTCTTGTTTTGAGCGGTTAACTTCTAGACTAATGACCTGGGACTCTACATTAAACCTCTAACCGTGATGTGGATAAATACTCCTGAGTCTCTTATTAGGATGGAACAGCTGTTCAGAGCTTCCTGATTTTCAGTGGCTGTCTAACTAAGATCAATACGTCTTGTAAATAAGTGCAATTTTAATATTTGTGTTATAAATAGTTTCTAATGTAGCTTTTTTTGTTGCTTACTTTGGACGTTTCTTATAAGCTTTGACAACAAAATCATATAACGGTCCATGTATATCACTGAATTCTTTTCGAAGATTTTTTTCCAATAATTTATCATCAGCAGACAATAGTTCAGTTTCTTCTTGAACTTGGTTTAATATTGATTTGGCTGTTTCTAAATTTTTGGTAATCTAACAATGAACAAATAAACAAAAAGAAACTTTTTAGAAGTTTTAAGATTTATTGTTAATAAACAAATGAATAAATAAAGAGGAAAATACTTATAAAAGGAACTTCTTGAAATTCTCATACATTTCAATCACAGCAAACATTTCAGTTTCAGACTGGGAAAGATGGGAGGCTGGATAATTTGTGTAAGTCTTGAGGATTAGAGTCTTTCATTTGGTCGAATCTCCTTCTGCATTGATCACCAGACGAAGCTTCAAATTCAGTAGTAATATGGATCATGTAAGTAAAATTTTCGACGTCTGAATTAGAAATCACATCATTTAGGACTACTAAATGACGGTTATTGAAGCCAATATTATGTGCAGCTGTATTTCACAAGTTGGTTAAAGCAAATAGATATGCTTTACAGAAGTCTTGAAGGTCTCGTGCTCGATATTAAATGAACTTACAAGTATTTTATTCAGAAATATATTGCAATATATTATTTATTACAATTCGTTGTTCAACCGATGCAAACTGATTAAAAGATTATCGTACCAAACTTTAAAATGAAGTAGTTAGCGCATGATTACTTCGCAGATTCGTTTCGATTCTAGTTACCAGTTGTTTATCAGTCATAAATTTTAAAAAAAGTTTGAGGTTTAGTCAGAATTAAGTTGCTAATTGCTAAAATAAAGAAAACCGTCATTTTTGAGACCAACTGCTTGATATAGGAAGCCATTTCTATTATCGAAATCAATTTTTCGAATGTTCAGTAAAACTAATAATTTGAACTAACAAAATGGTAATAATCGTTTTATCCGATACAATATAATTGATTACAACATAATTTCTCAGAAGTAAATGTGTAATTTTGGCAGAAAATTTCTTACATTGATTTGACTGCTGAACATAATATATATGAATAGTATAAATAACTTTTTAAAAGCGACTATTTGTCATTCTTAGTCATCCCAAAATATCTACGATCAGCCTTCCTCTTATGACATAATACATTCGGTGAATGAATTTTATTCAAATCTTCTATGAAACGAAAGAAAATGGTTCCTCTCAAATTTTGCCTTGATTAATCGTGTGGAAGGTTTAAAATCTTTGAAAAAACGGATGAATACAACACGAAGTCAATGTACATAATTCTTCAATTAAAACGGATAAAAAAGAAAATCCTTTGTAATATAGATGCAACTAGGAGACAAGTAGTCTATAAATTTAAGCAAACCACCAAAAATAGTACCATAATGTGTTTTTGATGGAATAAAATAAGATGGACCAATTATTACAAACAAATGATCTTCAGCTTTTTAGGAAAACAATTATTCATATTTATTTGAGAGTTCATTTTATTTTATATCACTTAAAGAAATTAATACTGAAAAGCTTACTTGTACTTCCTTCTTATATAATTCATTAATTGATTGTTTTAATTCATATTCTCTATTAATAAATTCCTCTTCAGTAAGTAACATCCATTTAAGCCTCCATATTTTTAATTCTTCTTGTAATATAGCCACTTGAACATGTAGCCATTTATTAAATAGAGAAGTTAGCTCCTCATCAAATTTTTCTTTAATTTCATCTATTTCATTGTTAATCTTTTTTAAATCACCTTCTAAAAACTGCATTAAAAAAAGTATTAAATTACTTTATGAATAAAATATTTTAAATTATGTTTCGAAAAAAAAAGCGATCATTTAGTATTGTAAGATGATATTATGCTCATGACAGATAGTAGGTCAAACAGTTATTATAATAGTCTCGTTTATATTGAATGATGTTAGTAGAATATCAGGAAGTTTATTCAACAACTGTCTCTATTACATATGATCTAGTTAGTATGATTGCTATAAATTTTCTAGAAGAATATGCTAATCATGTTCCATTGTGGGTGACATTGAGCTGATGTTATAGCAACACACCTACGATTTATTTCGATCACGGTTAATTTTGTCGAGCCCTTTTATTAACTTATTTGACGGACAGTGTTATTCGAACAGTAACAATTCGTCTATTTCTTTGTATTATTATGATCACTATCATGTCTGTATAAACGCATATACTTGATCACATGTGACAGTCTACGCACATATTCCTCACCCTACCTCAGATGTTATTCTCTTTAAATATCGCTTGATGAATCATTCTCCGTCCCATATATATATATATACTTGAATCTTAATAATTGCCCTGTTTTGCTTTGCCTTGATTTCATTTGACTGTAAATGCACCTGTGTATTCTCTTGTTCGTACACATTTGTCTCTATGCTCCAGTTTCCTCGATTTGCTTGTAACTTGTTTATCTGTGTTGTCCAAGAAGAAATTGTAATCGCCGCTCTTTATTGCCTTCTGAATTCAAACACCGTTGGGATTTATGTAATAACAGTTATCAAGGTGATTAATAAACGAAGCCTAACGAATTATCTCGGAGCTAAACCACTACAATGTCCATTTTGCGTTTCTAGAAGAAAAGTCGATAATATCTATTGAAACTAATTATATAGATGACATAGCAATCTTTCGAGAAATTTCATATTGTTAATAAAAGACAGTATTGTTTGATAGATATTTATAGCCAAACACTTGTGGACAGTATCCCATTTTTGTGTAAAAATTCAATAGATAATTATTAGGAATACTTAGAAAGAGAAAAAAACAATTAGATATGCACATGTACAAATTGTAAAACGAAATATTGAATAAATGAATTTATAATTATTATGAATAATTGATACTGATTTGTCTGTATGACAATAATGTGACTTATAATTGCCGTACTATGGTTAATTATTTCATTCATCATTAAGATAAAATAAATTCTACTCTTTGTTCAATCACATTATTTTGTATATGCCGAGGGATTCGGTAAAGTTAGCGAAGAAATAGTAACATATTATTTTGAGAGAGGGGGCTTGTGGAGATTGTAGTACCTTAATAATTGAGTACATGAGTCAATTGAAGCTAGAACACCATGAAAAACCTGGAAGCACTTGACGGCCGTTTCTTCTTAGTATGGGACTCCTCTGCAGTGCGCATCCACGATCCCGCACCCCGTGACATTCGAACCCAGGATATGTCAGTCTTGCGCGAGAGCGCTTAACCATCAGACCACAGAGCAGGCGTCCAACGGTGTTAATGTCTAACTTCAACCGATCCACGAAACTGCGTCACCATCCACCACTGTTTTCCAGGTTTTCCGTGGCGGTCTAACTTCAATTGACTCATGAATTCAATTATTATGTTATTTTATCTTACTCTTTTTTTACATACAAGAAACCAAGTCATAAAACATTGGATACTAAACATTTTGGTAAAGGTAAGTGGAATTAATAATGAAATCATAGTATTAGCCTGAGGTGAACAAGAACACGAGTGGGACAATTGAATGTACCCGACACGAAATTACAGAGCATCTCACTAAAATCTGAGAAACATATAGTAAATAGTTAATCTGTAAAATATCAATCCACGTCTCAAACTTGACTGCTTCTTTTGCAAATATCAGTCCATTGTCTCAGATTTCATTGTTCATGCATTTTCATACCAATTGCTCTTCGTTCTCCTTTTTTTCCCTCGATCTTCTACTGAAATACTTTCTATACCTGACCATCATTATATACTACTTATGTGGATATAAGGAGCTCACACCACAACCCTATTGGTAATTAATGTCATCATTTTGAAAAGTTTATAGAAAGATGAATAATTATCTAAGCATATTTAATTAAAAAGTTTGTTACTAGTATACACAATGACAGTGATTGGCAAGAGAATTATTGATGCAAGTTTTATTCATTTCGGCTAAATAGAGCACAAAAGCACTATGACTTGTTATCCCTGTAATTAAAGCTTTAACATGGAGGGAGGAAGGAAGGAAGAAAGGAGAATGAATAACACGAACTCTGGGATAACAAGAGTATTGTGACAGCGACTATAAATTTTGACTAATCCGCAACAACATAGGGGCGAAAATCAAAATTGTCTAGTTCTCTGTCAATCCCGTAACAATGTGGCCAACTACCATCGGAACATAGTACACAAGATGTAAGTTACATGAGCTAATGACCACATTGCAACTTGATCGACAGAAGCCAAATAGCACTAAAAAATTAGAGATACATGGAACTAGTCGTTATTCAGCTATCAGTAAACTGCAAATACTTCAGTCCTAAAGAGAATCAGTCATTGCTCGAATAGCTCAGCGGTAGCGTCCCAAACTATGAAGCTACGTAACTGGTTAGAATCCTCCGGCAATCATAGGTATGTATTACTGACTAATGTCAAATGGCATGAAATCTAGGTACGGAGTATCCCACCGACTATTTCCAACCATCTATCATCTATAAATTTTGATTGCATGAAACTGATATATTATAGTTTTATTGAATTGCGTTTCATTTTGCACATTAATGTAAAAGACAATCCAACCTTTTTATATTTTTCTCTTTCTTCATTTAATTCTTTTACTTTACGTTCATACTCTGCATGCATTTGTTTATCATCTTCCGTCCAATGAACTGATGGTTTACCAGTTAATAAAAAAGCTGGTTTTGGGACATCTTTTTTCAATTCATCTTCTTTTGTAATCTCTAACACACCACCCATCATTTCCTCCAAACCTTTTTCACGCCAATTATCCAACTTTTCCTTACGTCGTCTTTCTTCGTCAGCTAATCGTTTCAACTGAATTTCAGCTAACTGCTCAGGTGAAAAATACTTTTCCACTGTTATCTCATCATCTGTAACAATAAACAGCTGTTCTGGCTCTTCGTCGGGATCAAATTTCGGACTAGTGAGATGTTTTATTAAATGTGGTTGTTGAAGATCCGTATGAATCTTACGTATTCTTGATAATTTAGTTTGAATGTTAGAAAGGTGACTTGCCTTCTTTTCATAGAATTCATCGAACTGTTTGTTGAAAGATTCTTTCATACGATAAATTGCATCCTAAAAGTTTGTCGTTAATTTTAAATGTTTATAATTAAAAAGATTCATGCAGTTAGATAAATTATTTTTACAAATCAGAAATTAATCAGATGTAACTATTAAAAACACAAGTGCCTATCTACCGTTTGAATGTCAATTTAGATATGTATGAGTGATACAAATCATTATTTAAATGAATTTGGTTGTTCAGTCAACCAGTTATTTAAATATTTAGGTTGTTGAAGAAAATCCTAGATTATCCTTCATTAGATTTTTATATTCATTTTGAAACAATACTTAAGAAAATTTCAAACTTTGTTTTAACACTATGTAAGTCATAGTACATAGGATTTTGATGATCATCTCAAAGTGAATCCATTACACCGTAATTACTTCCGGAACCTCAAAGTGTATGTTGTCGATCGACTTATTCTGATGATCTAATATTGGTATAAAGCTAGTCTAATTTCTAGATATATGGATACCAAGTGCTATTTTACAGAATAACTAAGGAGCTCGAAGGATAACACGATATATTTTATTAGATAGATAGACAATAAAATTGGCCGAAATATTAGAAGTTTATCCATATTTGATAGTTAGCAATGACTCCTTATTTCAATTGTATTCTGTAGTCACATGTTAAACCCATAATTCAACTGAAAATTTAATATTTATTACAAAAAAGTTATGATAAATATTTTACAAAAGGAATCGTTAAATTTTTAATTCAAACATTTTTTAAACTGGAAAATAAGTTCGCTGAAAACATGCACATGTCTTTAACTTCAAGCATACTTTTTGACAGAATGACTACCGAATTTCCATAATCTATCGGGATGATTCGGAACAAGAGAATCAGTACAAGAACTGGCTCGCATAAAGTCCACCTTAAACTATGAAAAATGACTTTTGGGTTAAGATATCAAAAGTTGCTTAGATTATATACAGTTCTATAATTCCCATAAACAGAATTGACCACTTTCAACTTGTACAAACAATGAAATACAAATAAAAAATTATTTCTTTACAGAATTAATAAAGTTTCAAGTTTATTTTTGATATTTAGATGAAACTAAATATCTCTAGACGTGAATTTAGGTAATTCATTGGTTGAGATCATAAGTCAATTGAAGTTAGACCACCATGGAAAACCTGGAAGCACTGGACGGCCGTTCCACCCTATTGTGGGACTCCGTAGCAGTGCGCAATCCCTTCTGATACTAGTTCATTGGTGTTTATACTTACTTTTATCAAAACAATTTGATAAATCTTTTGCATTCGTGTATAAAGTTCCATTTGACCATAACCATGATCAATCGATCCACCTTGTTCTCTGGCTAAAATACAAACAATGATAATCAAATTACAAATAAAATCCAGTTTGCAAATAAAACTACCATGCCAGTCAATAATATTAATTATTTTCAAATGTTTCGCTAGGAGTAAAAGTGAAAATCATTTAAGGGAAACATATCCAGATCTCTGTTATTATTCAAGGTAGTTATGTGTTATCTTAAAAGCATAAATTTTCTAACCTTATTAATAATTAATACTATATTTGCTATCAGGAGTGATCTATACTACTCAAGGATTTAGAAATCAGCAACTACATTGTTTATTGATCAGTTGGACAGATTAAATACACTAGATTCGGCGTCGATACGTTTTTCAAATTAGGGTTATATGAGTAAAACAAGATAGCCAAATAACTAGAAGAACGGACTAAAATTTGCGTTCATTTTTCCTAAGTAGTAAGAAGTCTAAAATGTTAATTATTGAAATAAATTATATTTAAAACACAATTGTATGAACGAAGAATATTCTTTTCAATAATTTTTCATCAGGTTCTACAACTATAAATTCAAATTAATAATACATAAAATTGTCTAGATTTAAGGCAGAGTACATCGTTTAAAACTGTAACATGTAAATACAGGATTGTTGTTTGTCATATAAATTCAAATAAAATCAGAAGGGGTTTTGTGGAGATTTTAGAAATTTCAATAGTTGAAATCATGAGTCAATTGAAGCTAGAACACCATGAATAACCTGAAAGCATTGGACGGCCATTTTATCATAGTATGATACTCCTCTACAGTACGCATCCACAATCCCGCCACCCGCGAGATTCGAACCCAGGATCCATCAGTCTCGCGCGCGAACGCTTAACCATCAGATCACAGAACCGGCATCCAACGGTGTTAATGTCTAAATTCAACCAAGCCACGAAATTGCGCCACCGTACACCATTGTCTTCAGTGAGTTGACATCTCACAACAGACCTGGTTGAACTCCACTGGTCACTGCTTCTAACTAGAACTTCAGGAAATGCCTCTTGGAGTCAGTCACCAGCGAGCAGATGATTATTATGAGAAGGTGTTTTGTGGAGAATTTAGAAGTTTGGATTGGTTGAAGTTAGACATTAACACCATTGGATGCCGGCTCTATGGTCTGATGGTTAAGCGTTCGCGCGCGAGACTGATAGATCCTGGTTTCGAATCTCGCGGGTAGCGGGATCGTGGATGCGCACTGTTGAGGAGTCTCATATTATGATGAAATGGCCGTCCAGTGCTTCCAGGTTTTCCATAGTGTTCTAGCTTCATTTGACTCATGATTTCAACTATTGAAATTCAAGTCAAATCGTTAATGTTGGGGTTGACTAGTATGAACTCCGCCTGGAGTCTCTCTGAGGTCTTCAGCCGGTCCCAAGCCCGGATAAAGCAGAAGGGTTGGGCATGGAGTTAGCGACTCCATCACACAGAAAACTAACTCGCTAAGAAAATGTTATCCAAACCTTTTAAACTCTGTCCTGGGAGTCAGAAGGTCTTCATTTAGAAGAGTTATGACGCCTCATGATGAAAGCCGAGTTCCTTTGGAAGTCACGAGGCCGATGCCTCTTCTGACAGCTAGAGCAACCATTTATTTAGGTACATAGAATGCTCGTACAATGTGAGAGACCGGGAGAGTCTTCCAAATTGCTGCAGAAATGAGGAGATACAACCTGGAGGTGCTCGGAATCAGTGAAACACATTGGACGCAAGTCGGACGACAACGACTAGCTTCAGGGGAGCTTCTGTTATACTCCGGCCATGAAGAAGAAAATGCTACACATACACAAGGAGTTGCATTGATGCTGTCCAAACAAGCATAAAATGCACTTACGTTATTAAAAGGAGGAGGTGTTGGGGATGTTAGATCCCCAGAACTCACTTGGTAAATGCCTTAATTTTATAATTTTATTTTGGAAATTTAAATTTCCTTGTTTTCGCGCCATAGGCGCACTTTTCACCTTCGTGTCGTATTTCCCACTTGGGAGAATCTTTAACGCTATTGTTCCGTTGTGTATTTTTAGTATGCTATTTTCGCTACTTTTCCCAAGGACAGTTTTATACTGTATATATACGTTTGGTTTGTGTCTGCTATTATTCACTAGTGCCTCTGGCTTACGGAATATACCTTCCCGTTCCAAGCTTGGACTTATTCGTCTAGTTGGCGGGGCGGGGATGCATGAAATAGCTAGATTATTGGTCTACGGTCTCAAGCTAATCCATTGGGGTTTCTCCGCGTGGGTTCGAATCCCGTCCCCGTCGCCAAATTTACTAGGTTTGAAGTTATTACGAGCTCACTTAGTATGCGAACAGAACAAAGACTTGTGACCGTAGACCAATACTCTGGCAAAAATATAAGACTATGGATTTTTGTTACTTCAAATCCTAGTTAATTTTATAATTACTGATGAAATTTGTCTTTATATATAAACAGCATTAGGCTTTTTCTGTATATTGTAAACATTTCAATTTTCCGCAAATAGTATCTTAAATGATGTAAGTTTAAAAAAAGGTGAGATAATGAAACACATATGAACCCTTTCATTTAAACAATAGTTCTTGTTTCATGAATAAAATATAAGTGAACTATTCAACTAAATTTCAAACATAATCACCAATTTCTGACATTAATGTAAGGTGATTTAGATTTTCATGTTGTTTGATTTTTTAACACATTAGCATTGAAAATATTTTCTTAAAACTATAAACCCAGAATGTAGATAGTTATCTCGGTAGAAACCTATCTACTTAGAATTCACACGTACCAGTACTTCCAAGAAGAATCCGATTTATTGATTGCTCTGTTTCCTCTTCCTCATCTACTTCTTCCTTTTGTTCTTGACTGGGCTTCAGTTAATGTAGGTAAAGAAATAAAATCATTAAATTTATTTCTTGATAGCTTTTTGGTGATATTCAGTTTATCGGTTAACATTATAACCTATGATCAGGAGCTAGATATGTATTTATTAACTAAAAGGTCTTTACTTCACTCTACGTGTGATCATATAATGTTCAATAAACGAAAATGTGTTTTTGTAAACAGTCAAATTTTGTTTAATAATGTATTATGGTGAGAATACGAACTTCCCGAAAACAGCATAATTAAACGGGTTTCCTTTGATTGATCACTATGTAGTCTTCTGTATAGAAACTACGAAAGGACAAATACCATTACCCGCAAATGAAAGAAGTAGACTGGCAGATTTATTTGACACCGAAAATAGACCAGAAGCCATATTTTGGTACTGTAATTTTTACGGCGTTATTCATACTAAATACTAATCAGATTTGCAATAGACTTTAGGGGAGTAGAACCGGTTACGAAATTAATCAGTGACTGGTCGTATTGAGTTAGGTTACTAATTTCGTAGGATTTAAGTGTACAATATAAACCGGCCATTGAATTATATACTTATCCTCTTTTCTAAAAACTCAATTATTTTGTCGTGCATGATCAGGTAATATTATCTGCTACCAGATGACATATATGTGAAATGGGATCTAGAATGCCAAACCTTAAGAGTCTTCTGAACAATAACTCAAATTAGCATATGTCAACGAATACTAAAGACAAGTATTTTCGAGGTAGCCTATTAAAAACTAAACAAAATGCTTTTTACTAATCATTCTAAATTTCCACTACTGCTTGTTTGTTATCTACACTATTGATAGCCCATTCTTATGTTTTAATCTAGCTACTTAGAAGAATTCATGCATTTGTTAGGGTCAAGGCTATTTCTACTTTCGTGATTGGCATTCGTTTACTAGGAATTCATGAACTTCCATTAGTCGACCACTGTAGAAAGTAAAAAGTAGAAGAATCCACATCGGGAAGACATTTATTTTTGGCTACATTGAATGCTAGTTTTAGTTAGTTTTAACCGGACAAAATACGGTAGTTTCAGTAATTTATCATATGATAATGCAGGTCAAAAGAAAGATCGATTGAAAATGGTCTACTATGGATAGACTGAATATGAGACATGCGTACAACCTCATTCGCTTTATGACCTGATGCGGTTATAACATAAAGCATCTAAACTAAATAGACTAAATAAGAAAAATTGACACTAAATATAACTATAACGAACAAATGTATATTACTGAAATCTATAAAATGATGTATAAGTCAAATATTAAAAAACCTGTGAAATGTGGATAAATTTAAAAGGTTGCCTAAAAGTTATAACAATAATAATTTTAAATGGATTGAGAGATGAATGATGGATTAAGGATAGAATCCTATGTTCATAATAAGTAGAACAATGAATTTCGTACGTTTCATTTGCTTCTCCAGTTCTCATGAGTAAACACAAATTAAGTAGATTATAATAAATTCGAAAATGGGAAATTTCCTTCCAAATTATGACTTGTGTCATAAATTATTATTAAATTTTCCAAGACGTTCTTTCTACAGATTATCAATTACAATTACCTTATATAACCTAATGACTACAAAAAAACTATTGAATGAAACTAACCTTTTTTAATATATTTGATTGAAATAAATGTGAAGACAGTAATTCTCTTTCTTTTGCTGTTGCATGAATAATTTTCATTCTAGCAATAACAGTATTAATTAATTGTTTTTCACTGTTTGTAATATTCTTTAATGGATAATTTGTAACTTGAATTGGTAAATTGAACGCTTTTAAGCATCTTCCCTTGACAAACATTTCATCCCAACATTGAGATTTAATAACTTGCCAAGTAAATTGTTTTGCTAAATTTCTTAAGTTTATTTCTTTTCGAAGCTTTTATAAAAGAAAGATAAGTACATTTAATGTGAAGATGAAAACATGAATTATAAATGGATATTTGATTGAAATCGAGAGAAAGTGAGAGAGATATTTGTATGTGAAAAGATTTTGGGACAATTCTGTACTAATGTCATGAACAATGATTGTTTTTTACACTTCGATTCTCTAATCCGAACCAATCCAGGTGTATTAATGTTTAGTTTACATTCAAAAGACAGTGTTACATAGCTCTGGATAATTGATAATGTTACACTTTCTAATGTGATTACTAAAAAAGCATAATGTAATTTTTCTGTTAGTTTCACCTAGTTCTTCTATCTTACCCTTAACATAGAACCTCGTAAACACCAATTATATTGCTATGAATAAACTAATATATAAGAAAGATTAATATGAGTATAAATTAAAACAATTTCGTGCATACTTTTTCTACTAACCTGGTTGACCTCTTCCTTCGTTTTTTCTAAAATGACACTTTGTTCATCAATATCTAGCTCAAATTCTAACCTGCCAATACGTTGAAACTCAGGAAGACTTTCATTTTCACTGACCATAGCATTGACCTATTTTGTGTTTCATAAAAAAGTATCAATAGTCAGGAAACTTGAAATCATAGTAATCTATGTTAAAAATTATAGATCTACATTTCACTAACGAGTTACAGTAATAAGTAATAATTATGAGAACTTTTGCAAATTTCATTTCAAACAGGTTTTGCGAGTGGTCATCAGTATTCCATATTATTGGATAAAGCAAACACTAAATTTCTCCCTATTGAAATGAATATTTAAGTAAAATTAATTTTTGAAGAAAAAGCACTGTGAGGATCAGAAATTCTTATTTCGTTAGTCCAAATAATCTTAAGGCTGATACGTGGTATATATATAACAAATCTTACTATATTTCTGATTTCATTCAATTCATTAAGAATGCTTGTCTTTGTTTCTCCAAAAATCAAGTCTTCTGAAGCTTCAGCATTAAGCTGGCAAGATTCTATCCATGTGTTAATATTTGAGTCAGTATCTCTTTTATAATAGGAAAACTCTTCTAAATCTGTATCTTCATCAGCATCTATCAATATTTGTTGATCAAATAATGAAAAGCTTGTACCAGACTGATGGGGTAATGTTGGTAAAACATTAGGATTTTGTAAAAGATTAACATTTGAATGTGATTGATTTTGTGTTATCTCACAACTTTTCATTTCTTTTAATTTAGTTAGTTGTTCATGTAACGATCTTAAACTTGGAAATAAACCGACTTTCGATTCCGTAATTGTACCTTCACTGTAATACAAAATAATCAAGAAAATTAAAAAATTTAAAAATGATGATGAAAATGCTGAATTGAGTCTTTACATAAAAAGAAACTATACAATGAAATATCTAAATGTGATCTTACTCGAATCACAAAATAAATGTTATGAGAAGGGGTTTTGTGGAAAATTTAGAAATGTCACTAGTTGAAATCATGAGTCAATTGAAGCTGGAAAGCCATGGAAGACGTGATACACTGGACGGGCGTTTCATTCTAGTATGGGACTCCACTGCAGTACGCATCCACGATCCCGCTACCCGCGAGATTCGAAACCAGGATCTATCAGTCTCGCGCGCGAACGCTTAACCATCAGACCATAGAGCCGGCATCCAATGGTGTTAATGTCTAACTTCAACCAATCCAAACTTCTAAATTCTCCACAAAACACCTTCTCATAATAATCATCTGCTCGCTGGTGACTGACTCCAAGAGGCATTTCCTGAAGTTCTAGTTAGAAGCAGTGACCAGTGGAGTTCAACCAGGTCTGTTGTGAGATGTCAACTCACTGAAGACAATGGTGTACGGTGGCGCAATTTCGTGGCTTGGTTGAATTTAGACATTAACACCGTTGGATGCCGGTTCTGTGATCTGATGGTTAAGCGTTCGCGCGCGAGACTGATGGATCCTGGGTTCGAATCTCGCGGGTGGCGGGATTGTGGATGCGTACTGTAGAGGAGTATCATACTATGATAAAATGGCCGTCCAATGCTTTCAGGTTATTCATGGTGTTCTAGCTTCAATTGACTCATGATTTCAACTAGTGAAAAAAAGTATTGTTAAATTCTGTATCCTCAAAACGTTTTATTTAATTATGGATAAAAATATAGTGAACATTCACTAAACAATTAATTTAGGTTGCTTAATAACTATTTTGTTTAGTAATAGACTATGATTAATTAATCATATATTTATTTTCCATATAACATACAGAAAAGTGTTTTATGAATTTATTTCATCCATTAAGGTAGCCTCAGAGAGCATAATAAAAGTAATACACATCTTCTTTTCATAAAGCATTTCTGAAAATTCAACTAGTTCATAGTTCTTTGTATCAAACGCACTTGGAAGATTGTTAAAATATCTGTGAAAACCGAGGGAAGAAGAGGTAATAAATGGTTGCAGAAGGATAAATTCAGTATCCAGATAGGTTTTGGTCGAGAGGTGCAACTTCTATATCTAAAATTATATGATCTGTGATGAAAGTTAACACTTTCAAAATCCGTCAGTTATACGATAAAAAACTTCATACTGACATGAAACTAATTAATTATCAATACCAATCGGAAAAAAAATTGACCATCAAAATCAACTAAAACATCTAAGATGGATGCGATATCAAAAATTATTATAGATGATCATTATTTCTGAATGAACACTTAAACCGCAATAATATTATCGTTAAGGAAACAGATGAATTTCTACTCATGCGTGTGGAAACAGAAACTGAGCTCCTTAATTTTAATACCATTAAATAGTGATATCAATAGAATTTAGGTTGATAATGACTGGACTGAAGGCTTCGGCACTGATAATAGGTAAACATATTAGTAACATTAACAGACAGTAGTTTTTTGAAGATATTATTTTATATCTAAGTGTTTATAAAATATTTAACGAAACTAATTTGGATTATATATCATATTTGATTAGTCTTTCAAATCATTAAATGAATGAAATGAGCTGAATCATGGAACACCCAACTTGTTAGTATAAAATCCATTTTTTAATTTATTCCTTACTTAATGCTTACATTGTATAAAAAATCATATATTATACGAAAATAGATTCGTTATAAGCGGTGTAAGAGTAAATTCATCATATGAAAGATCATTTAGGTAAACAAAATAATTATAAAGTCTTGATTGCCAAAACTTACCTTATTTTAACTCTGGCTAATAAACCATCTCCACCACATGTGATTAAGCTATTCAAATCTTTACAGAATTCTGCAGCGATTATACCACGTGAATTAGATTCATGAATATTTATGGAACACTGAAGTGAAACCTTGTAAACATGAATGGAAAACAATATGAACAGAACAAAGTGCACTTTCATAAGGGGTTTGGTGGAGCGATGTGGTAAAACTAACCAGCTCAGTAACAGAAAACTTTAAAAGTGAGTAGACACACTGTAGGTGTTGAAAAAAAGTTGTTTAAGGTAGTTGGTGGTCTGACCTGTGTAGCACATGACAGTAATTTATCCTGTTGGTTACTGAATAATATTTCTGGAGAACTTGTAGCTGATATCCGCCTTGCTTCCATAATATCTTCAAAGCAGTACGAATTAATTTACTACACAATATGTGCTAAGTGAAAAAATACACAAAATACTTTATAGATCTATGATGAAATAGGTTGGGAGTCGCTTATCGAAAATGTATTAATATAATTATATTTATCAGTATAGGGTTGCGGAGGTTGCTGGGCTTCATTGAAATCATAAACCGATCGATGTTGAACCACCAGTGAAGATCCGGAAGCACTGACCGGTCGTCTCGTTGTAGCACGAAACCTCTAAACAGTGTGCATCCACTATGCTGTACGTGGAAATGATGCCCAAAACCTCCAGTCTCACGAGGGGACGCTTAACCTCTAAACCACTGAGCCGACATGTAACGGTGTTAATGTCTAAACTCGATTAAGCCACGATATTGTGGGACTGACTCAATTGATGGCATTACTGAGGAAATCCGCTCATGATACTCATACGCCAAAAGTTATTTACATCAACAACAAAAGGATTCAAGCCCTAAAAATAAAACAAAGTTCATCCCCGTTTTACAAGCCAGCGACCATAAGAACTCAGTAACCAAGTGAAAAACACGTTGAGCATTCGAAACGATAAGTATTGGAATTAAATCCTGGTATGAACCTCAAAATTCGAAAGTATATTCAGCCGATGAAACCGAAATAAGATTGAATTCGCATCCTCTATTCCACCCCCACTTAATATCAAAAATTGCTTACAAAATCTTCTATTTTTTGGTAGTTGTGAATAAAGGTCAAGATAATATGAAATAATTATCTTACAGTTTCATTTATACTAATAATTTGAACTGATCCATCCATAGAATAAGCTAGTAATGAATTAGTACCAGATATTCTTGTAAATTTGATGCTTTTTGATTCTTGTAAAATGTCATAAGTGTACTCTGTGGTAATATGTAGTAGATTTTGTTTCTAGTAAAGAAAACAAATGAAAACGTGCAAACTAATTATTCAATGGAGGAAATATCTGTAACAGTAAATTACAATATTTCTGATTTTAAAATTTGGTAATTCAACATTCCATTTTCAATTCAAATGTATTTTTTGGAGAAAAATTTACTTTAAGGAAATAGTGTAATATTTATTGTAAACCATATTTTTTAAATGTTATAAATTCTCTTCTGTATATCTTTCAGAAGAGTCTGTAAATAATTGATTGATTTCAATTTATAATCCCGTTTAACACATTTATGATTCGACCAATAAAGTTAACTGCCACGTTATAGACATCCAGCTAACGAGTCCCAAATAGGGAAGAACACGCGTCTTGGATTCCATTGCTAGCCACTATCCATCTTTGCTTATAAAGCTTGTGACCTAAGGCAATATCGAGGCGGTTCGCACAGGATGCACATATGTCCATAAGAGACTGATCAATTGCAGTCCTAAATAACAATGGGAAAATACAAGTAAACAACACCAAGTGAATATGATTTTTCCGTTTTAAATTTTTAAACATTTTATGAATCTGCATACTGTGATCATAATGCTTAAAAATAAAACCGGTAGTGTTTACAACATTTGTGACCTGCTTAGACAGTAAACTTGAGTTATAGTGATTTCTAATGAACATGAAGATGTAAAATCGTTGCTAATCATTATGTGTCGCAGAAATAATACTTAAGTAGTTATTCTGAATCAGACTAAATATTTGCAAGCGTTCAATAATTTCGACCGATAACTTTCATATTATTGATATAGCTTATAACTCAATATCAACTACCTTTTGTGATTCATCGATGCAAAATATTTCCAATCTATGATATTGAGAATCAGCTGTAATTAACAATGGTGATGTTGATTCATAAACATCATTTGATGGCCAATAGCAGACACCAACCTTCGGTTTTTGAAAATTCCATTTGATAAGCTTAATTTTATCTTCATTTAGTTTTCGATAGTTATCAACATAGTCTAATTCATTATCTAAAAATCAAACAGAAAGTTACTGAAAAATATCATATTATGATAGATTTGGCATTATTCAACAAAGGAGAAATGAATGGGTATATGAGTAGGTTTTTTTTCAAAAACTATATTTGATCCTGAATAAGACATTCATGAGAACCATGTAATTTAATGGTCGACAGAAATATTATATGAAGGGAGTCCAAATCTTTCCTGATAAGGTTAATAATTAATTAAATAATTTATAACATAAAATTCAATTAAAACCAATATAATAAATTTAATTTATATTTCTCAAATTCTTAAAACTGATGTCTTCAAAAAAATAAAAACCTCTTTCATTGAACTTAAATAGAGTAAAATGAATTATTGTAAAAGTAGTTAAAATAATGATCAGAGTACTATAGAACTTTTAGATAAGATTAGACTCTAAAATACAGTTTGGAATATGAGTCTTGATTTATTTATTTATTTATTCTAAGATTCATTATATGGAAATTGCTTTCTAGAAAATTATTAGAAGGGCACAAGTTGCAAGCAGTCAATAAAAGCATATAATAAGCACTTTAAAACGTTAATAAAGGAAGTAACATCAAATTGTACGGAAATGAGATATTTTCAAGATTAACTACACGTATTGACATTCAATGCATTCATTAATAATTGGATTGAATATATTAGGTTGGTTAATTATTATGGTTAAACTTTACCAGTTCTAAACAAAGTGGAAATAACAATCAACATTTTTTAACTGACTTTAAATTCGAGTTTGTTTTAATGTTACTTTAAGACTCAGAAAAGTATTCAATAAACAATCAAGTAGACTGAATAAATTGATAACCACAGAGTATAGAAAATAGATTTCAATCCCTACATTTCACTAAGACAAAGTGCAAATACCGTTCATTTTTGTTTCTTATAAAAATTCTTTATAAATAAACATCTATTTCACGAAGTGAAAGTTGTATTAATTATAAAAATAGCCTACTCAAAGATTACTCTATTTAACTTACTACTTCCAATTTCAGCTGGTATTTCGTACTGGTATACAGCCTCAGCAGTTTTATTAGTATCATTACTAACAGCAAGAAGAACAAAGATCTTCTGTGAATCTTTTGATCGAATCATGCTTAAATTATGCACTCTACCACTAAATGCTGTAAATGATGAGAAAGCATATGTTGAAAATTATTATTTCAGACAATAAATTAAAGTAGACTTATGAAAAAGTTGTTAAAAATCTAGGAAACTTGAATAAACATAAATTAAATAAGTACCAATGGTACTAGTCTATGAACTATTCTCCAGTTTTGTGGTTTTCCATTACAAAATTTGACAACCACAAAATCTTAAAGCGAATTCATCAGAGAGAATGAAATGGGTATACTTCTTAAATCTAGGTGAACTTACAGTTAAATGGGTTCCCTCTAATTACATAGTCAACAAATCATTTCGAAATAATGACGACAAGTTTTTCCTTGACTAGTAAGGTAGAAAGAGCCATACATACACGCCTTCATCACAATGATAAGGTAAAAAAACTGAAATTGAAAGATTCCAATTCTGCTTCTTCTTAAAGTAATAGAAGAGTTTTTTAAACTGTGCAGAATACCAAGTAAGAACAAATAATTTCTATTACACCCCTTACCTTAGATCTCGTGCCATGTTTACAATCACCACTTTGTTCCAGGGAATAGTGTGGTGCACGGTATATATATACCAGTATGGTTTATATTCTTCCATGCAAAACATATTATAATAAATAAATTTACAATTTTCATTATAGAAATCCTTATCGTTGGTCATTATTTATCGCTATATAAAATGTAGTTAAACTGTTTGGATCTTTGCCGTGTAATTTCATATCTGGTACTAAAACTCTGTTTCAAAATAGAGTACTTGATTCCCTGAAACTATCGTCAGTCGAATATATCTGTGTTATGTGGTGTTCCAACCATTTAAGGTTGGTGAAACCCCACTCCGCAAAGCCGATTGGTTTATCTGGATTATAATCTGCTTTCGGAGGCTTACAAACTTACCGCGTGGACGTGGTTTCGTGTCATAAAAGCTTGAACAATTTATTTAAAAAAAACTTGAAAAATAATCACTTTGAAGTTTGTCAGTTTCTTAAACATAAACGATAAGTTCGTGGGTTATTAGTGCATTTAAGTTTGACCAAACTATTTTTCATCTTAAGTCAACCTTTCTAGTTGTTTGAAATTTAGAAAATCCGGTTACGGCTAAATTTTAAAGTAACATTGCCGTTGTTCTTAGTGGAGGGATGAGTAGTATTTGAGTGAATCATGATCAACAGTCATATGTATGAAATTTGGCTAAATAGCTCTTAAACGTTTTCAAAGCAAAACGTGGATTTAAGTCACAGTTTTTCATAGTTTTATTTCACCCTTGCATTACAGATATATTAGTTAATAAGGCAACTTCATGATTGATGAATAATCATTTACTATGGTAAGTAAGTTGACAGAGGTTCAGGAATGGTGATCAATTAAACCAAGAATACGACCAACTGCAGTAGCTGTAACCAGGCAAACATCTACTCTTACTCAGTACTAGAGTAAAAATTAGATCAACGGTTTATTACCAGGTAAAACCTACTATTACAATACAAACTGTTGTGTATCATTGTGTTAGGCTATGAAATTTAGGTTAAGATAACATGTTTTTCCCCAGTGTACCTTAGCAGTTGTTATCAAGTATTTGTTATACTTATAATTGTTTTCAGTATACTTTCTATCAATACATTTATGATTATTAAGAAAATATTATGATTAAACTTACACACATAACCTATTGGTTCAAAAGATTTGTTAGGTAATGCTGATACTAAAATACTTGGACCATCATCTATTACTGTAGTTAAAAATTCACCATCAGGGTCGAATCTGAAAATAAAATAAAAAACACATTACTGAGTTGTATAAAAATGAATTATTCATTAATTGTATGATATATTGTTAATTACTTTATATTTTACAATTATTAAACTGGTTCATGTTTTCTAGAAATGGATGATCTAAAAAATGAGATTATTCAATTCGATTTAACTAAAACAATTTTAGATAGAAATAAAGTTTTTATTGACATCTAAAATATCATAGTAATTAAATATAAAAACAAAGTAACCTAAGATAATAATAATTATTTACAAGTGGAATAAACGAGTTATTTCATTATCAATAACAATTAATAATAAAAAAATCCTTGTTATTTTAATGTAGACTTTCATAACCATACTCTTAGTAGTATATAGAATAAATGACAATTTTTTTTCTATTTACAAAAACAATAATTTGATTTTGAGATACTTCATATTAAATATTTATGTGTGTCAAATTCTTTGTATACATGGTAAATAACTTTGTTTCTTGTGATTTAGTTCGTGAATTGTGACTGGTATTAATTATTCATATATATATAGTGTGTGTGTATGTTGTAATTTTGAGCAGCTTTTTTCAGTTTATATCAACTTCTACATAATGTGATGATTGAATTCATGAAACAATTAAAGCTAGACCACTATGGAAAACCTGGAAGCACTGAAATGGCGTTTCGTCCCAGTGTAGGACTCCTCAGAAATGCGCAACCACGATCCCGCATCCGATATTCGAAACCAGAACTTATCGGTCTCGCGTGCGGACACCTGACTTGTACACCAATGAGTCAGCGTCTAGCGGTGTTAATGTCTAACTTCAATCGGTATATATATATTCGATAAACTTTTGTCCTTAGTTTATTTTTTAATAGTCGACAATTTAAGTTACAAATGAACTGTTTTGTAGAAATTATTATTATACACTGGATAGTGAATATTTTATGATAGAATATTATATTGAATTATATAGTTTCATTGATTAGTATATCATAGTAGTTAATAATTTATTACCATTGTATGTAGGTTATGTCATCCACGTTTAATTTGAGTTTTTAATACCCGTAAATTATCATCACTTTTTTTGTGATAACATTTGCTAACTAAAATTATCTGAAGTAAAACAGTGTTCATAAACACTTTACAATTGCAAAATATGAACGATTACTGGATAAATCTGGTATTTATCTGTTTGTTCAGATAGAATGATAATTTATTAGGTCAAATTTGGTAAACTCATTGATTTCTCTGTTTGTCTTTTCATGAGAATGTTTTCCTGCTTTTTGTAACTGAATACGTCATTAGTGATGCAGTGCTCCGTCAGGGAGCATCAGTTCTCTCAAAATCACAGGTACATCTTGTTGATGAGTACCAAGTAGTACGAAACCTAAATCCAGGATTCCTGTTGACTACCTCCAGCACCATCTTATCGCAAGTAACATGTTGTATTGAAATAAGTACAATGTGTTCTTTATCCTTGTACACAAAATAAAAACACCTCAGTTATGTCTAAAAGGTAAGGGCGTCAGCTTTTAATATTACATGAAGGATAATCCGACAGAAATGTACAAATAAAAGTACTTCATAATATACACTCACGCAATATGTGTTAGAGGTTTACGATAGAGTCGAATAACATTTACAATTCTCGGTGAAGTGGGACTAGTAAAGTCAATAAACATTATAGAGCCAGAATTCATTCCAGCAACTGCCAAAGGCAAAACTGGTGAAATGGCCAAACAATGACACTAGGTTGAGGAAAAAATAAGAATCTTTGTTAGATTAAAAAGTTTTTCAAATATTTTTCAATAATAAAGATCGTGTTGTTACGAAAAAACAGGGTTCTTAGAAGTTACGTACTATACTGTCGAAAATCGTGTTTCAACATAGCATATCATTAGTTTATGCAATATTATCAGCCCGTTTACTGACTTATTTTCATAATTAAAGCACCAAAAACTGATACGGAAAGTTTCTCAGCTGACTAAAATTTACTAGTTGTTAAAACATTACAAGCTTTAATAAGCCATATCAAGTATGATGCTTACCATTACTTGAGGAAGACTAAACCAAGCAATAAATAACAGGTACCCACAAAACATTTTTAGAAAAACACTAAATCACCATTCTGTACAGAATATAGAATTCGATCAGCACTTTGCTAACGAGTGAAAAATAGCACGTAACCTAGGTTCATGGCTTTCAGTGGATTACTTCCAACCACCGCCTTACATTTCAAGATACTGTACACCATTTCGAGTCACTTAGATTTGTGACTACATCGCAACTAGGCTTATAAGATTCGATTAACACTAAGAAAAACTTAACGTAAATGACACTGATCACTTCTCAGTGATTAATCAATTGCGAAAGTATGCAACTTTTGTGACATAAGAATCTGTGCTTTTTTTAAAATATCTATCTAGAAAATCTGTTCTGAGAACACTCTATCTCTTATAAAGTAATCGGTGTATAAGCATTTATTACAAAGTGGTTTTAAAAAGGACACCGTCAGACAAAATTTTATAAAACCACGAAATATCAAGGAAAAAAAATTTCCCAAAACTTATGTGTCACGAAACATTTGAGGTTAAAACCTTTTTTTACCAATACATAGATACCAAGTCAAATTCTGTTCAATAGCAGCTCATTTTAGAAGGCCAACACATGATAATTTTTGCGTCCATACAAAGTTAAAATTTTCATTATTTTCATTACAATCACTGGTGGTTTGTAAACAATGAGCTCTGAAGTTGATCATTCTTACCGCTATTCATCAAGTACATCAATCAATAATTACAAAGATAGTTATAAAGAATCAAAGTTTTCAAATAACTAATTAATAATATAGCAAATAGAATTTCGTGAATGTTTCATCTACATTACTCATGTATGGTAATTTTTCCCATTATATCGTTTGTAAAACCTCAAATTCATTCTTAGTTACTTGTTAGTAGTATGATTTTATTTATCTAATTAAAATTCCACTTAATAATAAAATGTTTATGAGATACATCAAGTAAATAGTATAAACAGTAGACTTTGGAATATAGAAAGATAATATTCCTACATTAAAAGTACATGATATTTGATATAGTTTTGTTATTAAATGAAATAATAATTCAAAACAGATGATACTTTGGGAGAAATATAAATTAAGACTTCCATCATAAGACAAATATATTAATGAATATTATGTATTTTCGATGTAATTGCTCTTGGCATGATTTCAAATGTTCTAAGTAACAATTTCTATTTGTCAGACATAAACCTTTGTCATTTATAAAAGATAAATTATATGTCTCGAATGAGTTAAATGTCAAAATGAGAATTAAGTTAAACAAAATAAAATCTCAGATGAGTTTTGTGGATATTATAGTAATTTCAATGGTTAAGATCATGAGTCAGTTGAAGGTAGAACACCATGGGAAACCTGGAAGCACTGGACGGCCGTTTCATCCCATTGTGGGACTCCTCAGCCGTGCGCATCCACAACCTCGCCTCCTGCGAGATTCGGACCCAGGACGTACCACTGGGTTCACGCGCCAGCACTTAACCACTAGACCACTGAGCCGGCCGGCATCCAACGGTGTTCATGTCTAACTTCAACTAATCTGTTGATTTAATTTTGATTGTAAATTGCTTGAATAAAATATATGCATTTATTTAAATTACAAATATTGATAAAATTACATTATTACGGAAAAAAAGCAGATGGAATTAGTATGAGTGAATGAGAAATGGCAACAAAAGAGAATAATAATCAGTACAGAAATAAGTAGATATAACTTCTTACTGTATGATTGAGAAATAACGATCCAATCAATTCTCCAGTTATACAATCCCAACAATTGATTATACCGGTAGTTCCTGCAGTCTTTACAATAGACAATATGATAAACCAATATTTAAACCATAATTTATGCTGAAAATATTTGGAAATCAGTCATTCCAATATGAAACATACGAAGACCAATTTAATGTGATTACTTACATACCAGATACTGTTAGTGGTGAAAAACAATAATTTACAACTTAAATTTAGTCATATGATGCGTAGTAATACATACATTCAACGGTAACTTTGAGCGTTTTTATCAGTGGACCTTATTTTAATATCATCTAAATGTGCATATATTTCAATAATTACATGTCCCCTAAATATTGTTCAACAATTTTACACCGTTTCTTGACGTTACGAACATTTTCAGATTTTTAAAATAGTATTTATTGTGTTGCCATTGTTTTGCGAATCCCGTTTCACTGTGACTCTCTAGGTAAACGAAATAATTTGAATAAAAATCACAATTAAAAACTGGGTTACTGTTTTACTAAATATTTTAACTCAGTTATCAGAACGGACATATTTCTGGTTTGTCTTAATAGATCAAAAATACCATCGTCCACAAGTTTAATTCACAAGTTTCCTAAGTCAGAACAACACACCCGAATGATTTTTCAAGCAACGTGTACCCGAATGGCTTATTCTCTCGTAGCACTACGAAAATTCTTGAATTACCAGGGAATTCATAAAACGAACAAAAAAAATCAAGTTGGAACTTGCTATTTTAACAGTGTCGGAACGATAAAGTTTGCAGAATAAAATGAATTTGTTATATTTCATGGCTTCTTATCATCAGCAACCAGCTTTATTCATTGAGGTTTATATGATTGTGTGAAAAGAAATAGAAATTGAGAAGAATAAAAATAGGAGGAATAAACATGTCATAAATATTATTGTATGCATCCAAGGAGAGGCCATTTGATAGAATAAGTTCATTTTGTTCTGCAAGTTTTATTGATCACGCGCTATTTGAATTTATTAAGAGAACTTGTTTATAGTCTGTTATTGTGCAAAGCTATTTAACCGAGAATTAGAAAACCAAAGTGTTCTTCACCATGGGAATAGTTAAAGCAAAAACAATTTTTATTCCATCTATTTCTTTAAATAATTCTGTTTTTCAATAGTTTGTTGACAAGTATGTCGTAAAATTGAGTTGTACTACTTGTACCTTATTCAATAGTGTAAATATAAAAGGTTTCAACTTGGAAATGCTTAAAAGTAACCAAATATGATTATTTATCACTTGGTCCGATATAAAAAATTAATACTAATGAATTTCAATAGGTATAAATCTTCTATGAACTTTTTATTCATATGAGGAAATATAATAAACTTATGGTCTGAGTCTCAGAGACAGCGAAAACTAGTTGCGGGCGAATCACTTGGCTCAAAATGGATGGTTATGGTAAAGATTATCTTGTGCTTTCATTGACTTAAAATTTTGAATATTCATTCGGTATTCCTTTGTTTTTATCTGCACATGGTAAGATTGTTTTGATGAGTCACTAGTGTTAAGCATAGATAAATAATATCTTGATTGGTGTATCAGTGAAAATTATTGCACTAACAAAGAGTAGATCAAAACGGATACTCAAATTAACTTACAACACAAATTATTGATTTTTCAAATCTAATTAGTCCCATTCCAACAAATCGATCACAGTTAGTAAACATTTCTTTATCAGGACTGAGAGTAGACTGTAGAGAATCATGTAAACTAAATAAACTCAAATAACCAAGCCGACAACTAACTGCAATTTGTCTATAAGACGATGATATACTCAAACCTGTAATATTTCTACCCCAATGGTATCGATTATTTTGTATCAAGTTTTCAAATTTATAGAGATTTATACAATTTTGAATTTCAGTGTTGAATAAATAATTTTCACTATTTTTTGCTAATGATGCTTCATTTACTTTGACAGATAATTGATCACTTTGTTTGTTGAGTGGATTTATTTTATTAACTATCGTTTTTGTTGCTTTACTTAAAATTAGTAAACGTAGAACACCATCACTACCCCCGGCTAATAAACCATGCGTTGTATATAATATATAGGTTAAACATCCTTCTAGTTTATTGACTATTTCCACTTCTGAATTAATTAATGAAGACTCTGTTGAAATTAAATCACAATTGCAATCAGTTCTATCAGGAGTACTTTCAGACGCTTCTATATATTCAAAAAAGAATGTTAATTAATAAAATAAAACGCTTATCAATGAACTGATATGGAAAAATGAATTTTTTGCATGTAAGTAATAAATTCATATATATAGTATAATAGCCTGATAATGAAATAGTCATGAAAACGTTCATATCCTTTTTAATACAGCTCTGACAGTCAGTCAGTCAGCTACAATGTAGGACCACGCACATATGTACATCGATCCAAGTTGTCATACCTCATCAGCATAACAAGATGAAAACCGAACTCATAGAAGTAGTTTAATTCAATGGTGGTAATATATAAAAGAAAGATTGTGTATAAGGATAAAATACATAAAGAAAAAACCAGTTCGTAGAAAGAAAGATATGAAGCGATTTTAATCTCTTAGTTTAAAGGAAGATAGAGAGTGTATACACCTACGCCATTGTGATCGATTCTAAGCCATGTCACCCTCAGTTTCCAACCATTGGTTACGATAGTTACGCGAACTCCAACCAAGTAGTCTGCATCTACCAACATGGCTCGGACTAGAAGTTGGTGACTTCAAGCACTGATGCCACGTTTTGGTTTGGCCGCCCCTAACTTTCTTCCAACTATCCTCAACACTAGTCTGCATTGCGCGTCGTGATAATCGGAGTTTAGGCATACGCAACACGTGGCCCAACCATCTCAGTCCATGAAGATTCATAACCTCATCAACTGATTCTCCATCATTCCCTAATACCCTGCGTCTAACCTCACTATTACTTACCCGGTGATCCCAGCAGACACCAGCAATATTTCTAAGGCATCTGTGGTCAAATACTAGTAGCTTATGAGTATCTCCTTCTCTTAATGACCACGTTTCTCAGCTGAAAAGTAGAACAGAACGAACTGCCATGCAGTATACTCGTACTTTAATTGATAGATGGATATCTCGTCTTCTCCGTAGGTGACATTAGTTGGCAAAAGTCAAGCGAGCTTTTCGAATCCGTGCTGAGATTTCGTCAGACACCTACCCATTATGGCTGATCAAACTTCCAAGAAAGGTGAAGTTGCTAACGCCTTTGACTACTTCACTCCTTCTCCTTAGTTCAGATGTCGACGCAGGCTAGTCCTGAAGCAACAACTTGCAGTTAGATGTGGAGAAACGCATCCCAAACATTCTGTCATTGTTGCCCAGTGCTACCAAAAGACTGTATTTTATCAGCGTCTTCACTAAACAGGACTATATAATCTGTGTATTCTAAGTCGATAAGTAGACCTTCTGGTAGGAAATCAATGTCCGAATATCCAGTCGACGAGAAAGTTATTTCCAGCAGTACGTCTATGATGAAGTTAAACAAATATGGAGAGAGTGAACAGCCTTGATGGACACCAATTGAGGTTGCAAAAGCGGATGACAGTTCGCCATAAGCTCTGACTCGACTAGTAGTGTTTGAGTAAAGAGCCTTCACAAGGTTTATGTACTTCTAAGGTAAACATTTCAACGACAGACACTGCCACAGAATCTCGTAGTTTACAGAGTCAAATGCTGCTTTTATGTCAAGAAAGACCACCATTGTCGGACGCCGATAAGTATGCCTGTGTTCTAGAACCTGACGAATGGTGAATATGTGGTCGATGCAGCCACGACCAGGTCTGAAACCAGCCTGGTTTTCTTATGTTTGCAGTTCCCGAGCCTTAGTTAAGCATCCGATAATTATTGGTGCTAGTATTTTAGATGCTATGCTAGTCGAAAAAAATCCCTCTATGGTTATCACAGGATGATTTTGACCCCTTTTTATATATCAGGACAATCAGTGATTGTGACCAATCAGATTGGATTACGTCCAACTCTCAGGTTTTAGCTAAAATGTTAGTCAACCTAATCGCTAAAATTGGACCACCATCCTTAAAGACCTCTGGAGCCAATCCATCTGGACTAGCTGCCCTTTCTCGTTTCAGACTAACTATGGCCTTTTGAACATCAGCTAGAGTTAGGGGACCTACTTTAATGTTCCATTCACACTGTCTGGGAATGGTGGGTAGTTGTAGAGTAGCTTAAGGCAAGCTGAACTGCTCCTTAAAATGCTATTATTATTATTATTATTATTATTATTATTATTATTATTATTATTATTATTATTATTATTATTATTATTATTATTATTATCTGCTTTATTCAATATTATATTTTTGGTACAATATAGAATTCTCTGCCCATCATTCTAAACGTTTGAACTGGGAGCAAATAAAAATGTCGTCTTTTTCTGAGGTAGTTTCACTAACGCTTGACTTATTAATTCCAGTTCCTTTGATTAGTCTGAAGAGCTGTCTTGTACAACCTACAGCCGCCTCCTTTTCCATCTCTTTTGCTTTCGTTGCCCACCACTCCTCACGGTCATTCCTTAGACTTTTGGTTAACCTAGATCTGATTTGTTTTCGCTTTTCATCATGTTCGGAGCCTGATGGGATGAGTTTAGGAGAACTCATCAGTGCAATAGATTTAGAAGAAATCCATTGGTTCTTTGTAACCCTTTGATTTAAATCACTGATAGATGTCACTGCTGTTTCCATAGCTGTTTGTATTATTTTTCCAAGCAACATCCGGGTCAGCCTTGTTTCCAGAACTGTCTAAGTGTGACCTCAGTTGTTCCTGGAACCTACTTTTAGTTTTCTCATTACTCGATTAAATTCTGATGGGTCTTTTTAGTGTGGCTTTTCTGCATCCAGTGAGGCCCAAGCAGATGTGTGCCCATATTAGAGCATGGTCGGAGTTCAAACAGGTACTCTATCGACCCTCTCCAACGACGACTGATGGTAATATGGTCTATTTGACTTCACCGTTGGTTTGGTGCAAGGGGTCGCCATGTTAAACGATGTCTCTCCTTATGCAACGTGTGTATGCAACGACATGTGGCCCTATCCTTCAGAGTTCTTACGAAGCCATTTAGCCGAACAGCACATAGAAGACTGTTAACAGGGATCTACTATAATAGTGCTTGTTCCGCCCTCGTACTTAGTTATATGCTTACATCTACCAGTCCACAACAACCAGCCATCCGGTCGCCAGATACACAGAGGGTGTATCTCGTCAGCTCTCCATTTTGGCGAGATGAGGTCAAGTAAATGACCACACTAGGATCCTGTGTGTGTGTTTCAGAGACACAGCATACATCAATGGTGCGAGAGCCTAGGGTTTTAGCCAAGGAGGCATGTTGGCCGATTTGACACAGGTTACTTACGTTGAAAGCTTTAATGTGTAGTTTGGAGCAAGATTTCAGTAGACCTGGGACAGTGTTTCATGCACTAGAATCGTTGGCCATGGAGACACTTGAGGAGGAAGCCAAAAGAGGAAGGTCGATGTAGGAGGAATAATAAGAACTGAAGAGGGAGGTTGATTATAAATACAGTGGTTTTGAGTGCTGTTAGAGGTATGAGGGAAATTATCACGTCCCGGTTGCCACACCGTGGAAGGGTTCTTCTGGATGTACCTAAAAACGAAATTGGATTAAAGGTGTTCTTATTGACCTGAGAGCGTAACCGCAGTGCCCAAGGGACAACTGTTTGAGGTCGGTCACACACAACCATTTTATGAGTAATTTTTGTGTTAGCTCCGTACTTGTTGAAACCTTACCGCTCGAGACGGATATCCATGGGATAAGGCGAGGTGTGCACTTTTAGGGTCGACCTTTTCTAACCTCACCCCTCCTTATGAGAAGGCAGCATCGCTGTTATGCTAGTTGTCCGAAGGAAACACCTTACCGCCGTCACACCTCTGTACAGTCAGCAGTACGACTTCATCCTCAGACCTTGGATTTGCTGCTTTTAGACTTGCCGCTCTTCAACCGACCTGTCTGGCATGGTAGGACCTTGAGGAATGATTGTTCCAGGCAGTATAGCTCGATTAGTTCATCACGATAGGGAAGCCCGACCACCACGTCAAGGTAGCAACAACGGTCGGGAGCTCTGAGATCAGGTTTACAGTAATTATTTTTGCTTGAAAAATATCTAATGATATGAAAACGGTGAACCTTACTCTTTGATATTAAGATTTTACTGAATAAAACATCCAGCCCGAAATTGATACTTAATTACAAAACGATCAAGTATGAACAGAATAGTGTTATATATAATCGATTATTTGTTTGCAAATTATTAGCATGTTACAGATAAATAAAAAATATTTGTCATTATTTATCTATGTTGTTCAGAAAATTTTTTTAGAAAAATCTGCTAATTTTCATAATCGTTATTGCACTATTGTCTTCCTTACCTTTGAGACACTGACAACGAGAAGCTGGGTTCAATAAAATTTTCACATTCATGCTGAGGGGGTCAAACTTGAAAAGAGAAAGAAATAATAAACTTTTTGCATTTAAAAATGTGAATTCACTACACAAGATAAAAGAAAGAATTCAATATTACATATAGTTGAATTATTTACGAGGTATCCAGTTTTGATTTTAGGGTTAAAATTACACTAACGTTTACAACATCATTATCACCAATTCTTTGGATTTTTTAAACATGGCTGTTTTCTATATTTACTTCACTCCCCAACATTTAGATGGGCTAAACAGTAAGTTCCAAAATGTAATTTAATGACATCAAAAAACATAGTTAAACACTAGAAAAGTCTTCGGAATTTTTTACCTACTGCAACTATGCACGGCATTTGGGGAGGTTAGCACTGAGTGTTTTTTTTACCGGGTCTATTGCAGCATTTATCCCCCTAAATACTACGAGACTTCCTAACAGATAAAGTTTTACTGACAGTGAAGTTTTCATTAAAATAGGTTTAATTTATCTGCTACAAGTATAAGTCTGTCTCAATGATCCGGTAGGTACTTAGGTAATCCGCTTTAATTCTTGAAAATTAGGGCATGAAAGATATTTTTATTATATTGGATCAGTATTAACACTAAAACAGGAATAAAAGTTCATTATCCAGTTAAATCACATTTCTGAAATATATGTGATCGATGCCGTAACCGTAATAAGGATAAAATGTAATATTTACTTATCATTTATGATGTGCTAACCTAACTTTTCATTACTTACATTCAAAGTAACTAAATCATTCAGACCAAACTTACAAAACCCTTTATACATACACATAGGATACGCATTAAATTTATGTCAAGCCTCATATTTTAACGCTTATTGGATAAATATTGATAACTAATGAATGAATTTAATAAAACATTTCAAGGGTTTGGAGTATATTCGTAGATTAGTTGGTCAGTGAATTATTTCTAATAACAGCTTCTAAATTAACACCCGTGGTTGAAGTTAGACATTAACACCGTTGGATGCCAGCTCAGTGGTCTAGTGGTTAAGTGCTCGCGCGTGAAACCAGTACTAGGTCCTGGGTCCGAATCTCGCAGGAGGCAAGGTCGTGGATGCGCACGGCTGAGGAGTCCCACAATGGGATGAAACGGCCGTCCAGTGCTTCCAGGTTTTCCATGGTGTTCTAGCTTCAATTGACTCTTGAATCCAACTATTAAGTTACCTATGAAAATATTCAGATGAAGAAGTCTGAAAATAATCGAACAACACTATGGTTTTGGTTAACTACTGATAGCATGGTTATTAAGGTATTAGTGAAGAGTCTGAGAAATATATTCTAGACAACCAAATAAAGATGAAAAGTTGAAAATCGTAAATGAAACGTACCAATAACAACTGGCCTCCTTCACAGCCGATAAAAACTAATTTTGAATTTGTCCAAGTCTGTGAAACGCAATTTAATCGAACAGATATGTCCATATAATCGTCAAACTCCTCTTCTCTGGATTCATTGATTCCTTACCAAGTAGAAAAACGATAGATGTTAATGAAAGTAACACAAGATAGTGAATAAGTGAAGCAGAATATAATAAAAGCAACAGTAAATATTAAGTCACCTGTAATTGAAGATTTCAGTATATTTGGATCAAATCTTGTTTCATGTCGTATACTTGCAGTATCTCCATTGGTCTCAGTGTTATGTGTTCCATAATATGGCCCAAGACTAACGGTACGTTCTGGTAATATCATCGAACTGAAATCAAATTTTATGAAGTTAGTAATGAATCAGTAAGATATTAAATGGAACTAATTATTATTCATTTGAAAATAAATATCTAACATACATTAGGATATACTCAAACTATGGTTTATGTTACGTGAGTATAACAAACAAAATGATACCTGACTATTGATTTTCTTAGATATTTTGTTCAGAATGTTCATTCCGCATTCTTGAACCTACGCCATTTGTAAGTACTAGGATATTTGAATGCATTATCTATAAACTTATTTCACGACTTACCAAGTCAGTGAAACATGTTAGAGAGAATGGAGGACCAAAGAAGTATACATGTATTCTATTTCAGATATTTTCGAAGCACTTTCTGCCGGTGTTTTGAATAATACAGTTTAAGATACGTTTCAAGTCCTGAGACTGAACACCTATTTCTGTCTCGTTTTTCTTAAGTATTCATATAAGTGAAACATAGCCAAGTAAATACATTTATTGTTGTTCAGGGTTAGATAAAGCTTTCTTGTTCTCAAAAATGTACGTTTTAAATATTAAAAACTTATATCAATAAGAATTTAGAAATAAAGATTTGACCAAGTGTTATCAAACTCAGTAGTTAAAATCTTGATACGGCATCTCAGTAGCCCATGAATATGGGGCTAGTCTTTGGAAGAACAAATGTGTAACTTGTTGGAGAGTTAGTGATTGAAAAAAGCGAATTAAACAAAATTAAATCAAAATAACGTTGATTTATAATATGATTAGAGATTTAGTAGCTCTTCAGTTTATTGATATTTATACCCATTTTTTAGAAATAAAGTTTACAGTTACTTAGCTTATATAGTTTTGTTATGATACAATTAATAAACATACATTTGTGTATGCCGGTAGGATAGTAAGTCTTACTTGCATTTAATAGAATTTATCCGGTCACATGTTTCAACCTGCCAGACATGTATACAATGATGATCTGTTCCCAAGAGATAATGCCAATCTGTCGGACAAAAGCTGAATGTTGTTAAATGTAGTCCATTTAAATTAGTTTTGCACAATATTTCACAAGAATGAAAATCCCTGCAAAAAGTATGAATGGTGCAAATATAAATGGTTCAAATTAATCTACGAATTGTTTTTCTCATAAAATATCTCAAATCGACGGCTTAGATATTATATTCAGTTTTACTTATCATGAGAGCCTCAGTTTGTGATTTTTAGAATTATTTACAAAACGAAGTCGCCTACAGTCTCTTATACAGAAACCATCATTCAAAAATGCTATGGAAATCTAAGCTATTTGAAGGTAATATACTATTATGAAGATCCCATAACGTTATTCAGTTTAGCTCCTCCTTCATTCAGTTTTTCTCTCGATGAAATATATGCTACCTGTTCTATAATTCGTAGAAATGCTATTTCGTCTCAATTTTCGTTTTAGAAATAAGTTCAATGCACGTAGTTGTTTGCTAAACCTTTTATATTCGTTCATTTGGAAACCAAGATTTGGGTTTGCGAGTATTCATCAACTTGGTTATCTTACCATGGAATACTAGTTATCTTAGTACCCAATGAACAATAGATGTATTGAAAAAGTAACACTTGGCAACCGTATAAAAATCAGTAGTCAGGAATTCATGTTTACTGAATCACAACGTTTGCCCATTCCTGAATTTCCTTCGGGATATTTGTAAAGAAAGGGGTTATCAATTTTGACCAAAAACATTTATAAAATGGGTGTTCCTCAATGAAACTAGAAGTGAAATGGTATTCAACTACTGCTTTTAGTATTGAAAGTCATGAAAGTGAAGACAATAAAAATATCACTCTTGATTTTACTTAACCATTAGTAGATCCGGTTGTATAATTTTTAGTCAACTGTAGCATCAAATATAATGTCATGTTTTAAATTATGTGACGCTTGCATCGTGGCTTTGAATTACGTTTTTTTGATGACCAAAAAGATATAAATCCATAATGAACATAACACACAGCTTATCATCTATTAAGCCATATAGAGTGCAGCATGGTGATAACTCAATGGATGGTTATGACTGAGTAGAACTTGTAACAGCATTAAACGTTTCATAAGTTAACTACACCGGCAAACTAGACTTTTTAAAATATCTGTCTGGGTTGATCTCAGAGGGCAATATACATCTTTGAGTTAGGTTGTTATTACTGTCATTAGTCTGTAATTTCATGAGGGTTGTACTTCATGGCTGAGCTATGCGGAAAAAAACATACAGCCAACGGTGTTTATAATTCATGATCTTATTTTAAGATTAAACATATTTTTTTCATATTCGCATAACAGCTATCAACCGTCTCCTTCTCCATTCAGTTTGTGTGCTAATATCTGATTGCATACTAAAGGATGCCAGTCTGATTGCGCAATTAGTTTTACGAATGATTAAAGGAGATGAAACATGAATCTATCGATGCTAAGTCCCAAAACTTAACATTTAAGAGGAAATCACTTTTAAAGTTCACACACTAATCTGGAGTGAGTTATGTCCGTTCGTTTTTAGTGCTTATCTATCTGAATCGGTTCATTTTGTATGAGGTTAGTTTTCTGACATTTTAAGAGTTTAATTAAATTAATTAGATCACTGTTATTCTGAATTTAAATGATGGTAAAACAGCTAATAACTTTTGCGATAAGTAGTCACTGGAACTAACTGATACAATAACAAATGGTGTCAAGCCAGATAACTGAAAGAGACACAAAATTAGATCACAAAATTCAGAACATTGATTTATACCAATAAGTCAACTCACCATATAGATAGAATAAAATCAGGTATGCCAGACACTGTTGCATAATACTTGGTATAGGAAAAGATGGACTGTTGTATCTGCAATTTGGCAGCATCTGTTTGATCAAAATTCACAAAGCTTGCGAATCGGGTTGCAACTTACTTTTCAAAATAATTTCATCCTTTTGCGGATAACTGTAGACGTAAACCTTTGGGTTGACGTTACATAACTCTGTTACAGCAAAATAAGGTTCTAGTGGATGTATAGATAGAACAGTGGAGTATTTTGTGAACAAATGAAGTGTTTCAACCTTATTAGTTAATATATCATGAAATTTTATTGATGGACCACATTTTATACACAAAATATGATCACCTAAAAATCCAAATTGAAACTTCTTCAGTCCTTGCACCCATCTAATGAAAATTAGCAATAAGCAAACGAATAAAGTCCATTTTGTGGATGGATAGCTCAAATCAAGTAAACTACAATATTGAATAATGAGAAAGTCTACATTTATATTACCATGCAGTGATGTTGTAGTGCGTGTGATAAATTTACTCAGTAAATAACAAATTAGAACTACTGCATTTTGTGCATACTTTGTAAGCCAATACAAATATACCTAAAGGTGGATAAGTCATAGAAAATCAGGTTGGTTACTTGAGTTGCAAACTTTCCAAAATAATTTTCTACAATCTTTCTGAGACGTTTTTTATTTTTTTAGAGGTTATTATCCCGTCAACTCGTGTACTTCGGACAAAGAACTACTCAAAGATGTATGTATTTCAGTGGTTTACATTTATTATTAGCATCCGCATGGAACGTTGAGCGAACATATGAATACATTTTTTAACGTAAAACATAGTTACGGCAACAACAGATTGAAATATTGGATCACAAAATAAGTGAAATAACACTAGCTTACCATATACTAAATCATGATTTCACAACTATTATTTTCTATTCTTTCTACTTTATCTCAGTGGGTTTTCTTATAAATGTGAAAAATCTAGATTAAATGGTCTAGGTCTGAAGTTTCGTCTTTCACTATAAATGGCAAACTTATGGGAGTGTCAACCAAAACACAAAGCATCGGCACATAATGTTGATAAATCAAAGACAGGTTACTACTATAGCAAGGATTACCAAAATCATCCTGAACCCAATCTTTGAAGACTGAGGAACCTGAGGATAATTATTTAAGTGTCAAACGTGATTTTTACACTTAGAGTTAGGAAACCTTTGGCGTCTAATACACCTGACATTGAAAACTGGGGGTTCACGAAAGCTTTTAAAGATACTCGTCTGAGAAATCAACCTTATGTAATATAATAAATTATCAGAGTTTTACTTCCTGTCTCATTTTCCTCATGTATATGGCAACATATATGTTACAAAAAAGAAACCTGCTGTAATATTCAGCGTATTTGAGAAAAACATAGTAAATGCATGTTGTTTGACTCTGTAAGATGAACTTTAATTGATTCATTACGATATATATTGTGGTTTATCAATTAAAGTGAGTACAAATTATAACATCAATGCTTATGCAAAACGTTGTGATAAGTCACTTAACAAATATTTTGATTTACTCAGCATATAAGTGATTTATAACAAACTTTTGTGCAAGCACTGATACTATTTTTTACTGTCATCTACATTGAAGCTATATGGAAGGATCTTCACGGTAAGATTATCTTAAAGTAACTATACAGTACAAATCTAGAGTGATGGCATACTCGAAGGTCGTTTTCATTTTATGCCTGTCGTCATGATGACAGAAGCTTAAACACATGTGATAAGTAATTTTCATCCATACTATTATTATAAATAATAAATGGTTTTTATTATGTGGCATAATATGTTACGTTTGATAGTCTTATACACTTATTGGAATGTGTGGTGCTTTTGATAACTGCGCAACATGGCCTTTGCGGCAGTTTCAAACTTACATTACTAATTTGCCCAACAATCCGATATCGACCATTTCCTTAGTGTTCACATTTATTTTTCAATAAAGATTTCAAAAGGATATACTATGCTCTCCATTAAAATGACAGTCGCACGCGGATTATTCATTTACTTCCGAATCTAAAAGACTATTCGCATTAGTGTTAAATGTCTGTTTCCATAAATTCTTCACTGTTTACGGAAAATCATTGATGAACTTCTTCACTCAGTTTCTTGAACTGTGGAACTCACGGTTTCCTGGCGATAACAAGGCTCCCCAGCTGGATTGTTTGAAAGCTGACCAGTTCAGTTCTGTTGCTGATCAAAAGCGTGCTCTAGAGGAACATTCGTGTAAATTGTCAATGACAATTGAAGAACTGAGACAAAAGATCGACTACGATTCTTTTACAAAGGAATATTTACAGAAGTGTATACAAAAGCTTGGTGCTATATCACAAGTTTTCAGCGAGTTTGAACATGTTGGTCCTAAAGTTTCTGGAAGTTCTAGTAGTCAGCTTTCGCACATTAGTAATTTCCCTGGTGATATTTCGAGTAATATATTTTCTCAAAATACAACACCATGCTTTACGAACAATCCTTCTAATTTTTCTCTGCTTCCACAATGCATTGCATCAAGTCTTATCAATTCCGCATCTCCGCTTCTTGCAGCTGTAGCAACGTCTACTGCCCCTTTTTTATTTCCCTCGACATTGACACACTTTTCCTGCCCAGATGTGATAAAGTAAGTTTTTTTATCTATGACTTAAGTCATTGTTGTTATTCTAGTGGATCGTTTACTTCTAAGATGGTAACTTCTTGTTATAATTTCTTTTGTTATATGGTTTAAATCAATCCTTAAAAAAACTGTTGTGAAATGTATATTTAGTGAGTGTTCGCACATTTTTACAACTTCAAGAATATTAGGGTGGAAACGAATAAAATATTTTGGCATTTTCATATGTGAGATATAGGAGTCCATTACTGAGAATATCTTTGGGGCTTTTTGTTGTGCGCCAACTATCAGTTCTTTATTGAATCACCTAATTGTCTGTTATCATACTTAGTGTATACGAGAGGATTGTTGTAACATAGATGGGTTCTGCATTTTAATCAATCTTCCAAAAAGTCTTGGCTGTAAGTCCTCGGGTAATATCAATTATTTTTCTTATATCCTGGAAACCAACATATGTTAACATCATCCCTCATTCTTACTAAACTAACTTGATCGTGTATTGTAAAGTTTATACCGTTATCTATTACTTTGACTTCATATACATATCAGAATTTCAAGATTTTCGACATTTTGGTGCAACGCTTTCATCTTGAGCTTTGTATGACTTCAGACGATTCCAACAACAGAAAGTACCCCAGAGCGATTTTATTTTTGGTTCCTAATACCTTGATAATGACGGAACCTCCGAATCTCATCATTGTATTCTCTCGTAAGTTTGTGCACTTATGAGCCTATTTGATTTACAATTGCGTTGCGTGTGACACTAGATGGTGGATTCCTGGCTATCATGTGCTTCTTAAAGGGATGGGAACTACTTGTGTATATTATTTATTAGTCATTTGAAACATCTTTGTTCCCACTTCCGAAATGTCTAATCAAGTAGTTGATATGACGAGATGAAAAGTCAAAATTAGATTGATTTACTCATTATGATTTCTGTTCAACATTAATTCTTTTAATTCAATGTGATGATTACTCAGTATAGTATTTGTTTTGTTTTCCCGTAGGGCATTTTGTTCTGTATAACATGCGATTTTCTCGTGTTAAGTTAACATAAATTATGCTCAGCATATGGTTTGTTATAACTATTTTCTATATATGTGATTTTATTCTAATTCTTAATCAAAAGTGGGTGTATCAATCAATATATAAGTGGGTGTATTTCCGAATAGACTTATCGTGATTGTTTGTGATTCTGGCTGCTTGTCGAATATATTGCCCTCATCCGAACTTGGACTCCTCTCTCTAGTTAGCTGGGCTGGGTCGAGTCAGAATAGCTAGCTTATCTGTCATCGTGCCTCAGAGAGTCTTCGTTCCGTTCTCAGATTAGGTGAACTCGTAATCTCTTCAAACGTAGCAGTAGTTGAATGTGTATTGATTATACCTCAGGTCGTTACAGTTTGAAATGTGTGTTATTGGCCATAGAAACATGTCTGTTGATTCTGTGAAGTTTATTGGGATGTAATCCATTAACGTATGCATAATTATCTGAAACGTGTTCTTGGATATTAAGTTAATAATCGATGTAACTTGATAATTTATTATATGCTTATATACAGGCTAGTGATAGTATTTTGTGATCCTGTGATTGACTCACTGTAACCTGGTTTTTAAGTTCGATTTCACTCGTCTTTTATTATACCGATGTAATAGTAAAAACCATCGTTATATTGATTGGGTGTTTACTACTACTTACTAATAAGATGAAGTTTTTGGGTGATCAAACCGTAACGTAATGTCAAAAGAAGCTGTATCTTATTATGATGTGTGTTGATATGACCAAAACCTATCACCAATTCATAATATAACTTAATAATCAAGTAAAATTTTATACATTATGCTTTGCACTCCAAGTACTGTATATGCCCGGTACTACTCGATGGTCTGCATTTCCAAGTTCTGAGGGTGTTGATGAATGTGAGCCGTAGGATCGTTGATATGAAGAAAGGTTTTGTTTTAAAATTAACAGCGTACAGTCGAACTCGATATCTTTAGATGTACATACTCAGAATATTAGTTTGATAATATTGTTACTGGTCTCAATAAGTTGTTAGTTGCCTATTTTACGGATTCAAAACTGGACCAGTGAAATTGTAAGATATATTTGTGTTGTAGATCTTCGACCATAGATATCTTCAAATCATATACTAAATGTTGGGATCACTTGAGAGCTGCTAATGTTGGCAGTATACTGTTAAGTGAAAGCTAATGCGGTGCTAGTCATAAAGGCTGTCAAACCAGGATATAAAATCAAATCATCTCAGTAACCGATCAAGCTTTTGAATTGTGATCCGTCCTGTAAGCGCGCCCTGTGCTTAAAAAAACCTTGTGTAATATACTTCATAGAGAAATGATTTTGCACTCACTGTTTACATTAATTCTGGAATTCTAATTCCTAGATTTCATTTTCTTCTTAAGAACTATACTTATTGTGAAATTCACCTGGTGTTGTTTACTTGTATCTTCCCATTGATATTCAGTACTGCAATTGCTCAGTCTCTTGTTGGCATACGTGCATACTGTGTGGATTGCCTCGATATTGCCTTAGGTCACAAGGTTTATAAGCAAAGATGGATAGTGGATAGCAATGGAATCCAGGACGCGCGTCTCGTCCTACCTGGGACTCGTCAGCTGGATGTACCTGCATCTCAGAGTTGATGTTCACTCGGACTTGAACCCAGCACTGTTCGCTTCAAACGCCATCGCGTTATCCACTTAGTTACTGAGTCCTGATAGCCACTTAACTGGTCAATTGCAGTCCTAAATAACAATCGAAAGATACAAGTAAACAACACCAGGTGAAATTAAATCTTCACCCCATTGCACAAGCAGGTAGCTATCAGGACTCAGTGGCTAAGTGGACAATGCGTTTGAAGCGAACGGTACTGGGTTCGAGTCCCAGAATAGACATCAACTCTGAGGTGCAGATACGTTCAGCTGACGAGTCACAAATAGGACGAGATGCGCGTCTTGGAGTCCATCGCCAGACACTATCCATCTATACTTGTGTTTTTCTGTGATTTTTGTTGCTGTTATTTCAAGTTTTTAGGTTTTCATCTTGTTATTATCTTGCCGTCTCACTGAAGCTGTGTAATGGCTTAAACTTACTTTTGTTCAAGATCCTACACTGTTTGTGGTCATATGAATGTCCGTTTTGGTAATCTCTAGTTACAATTCTGTAGTCGAGTTAATAGTTGGTTAACTCCTTTTCGCAAAATATCAACTGTATACATTGTAAATCTGGTTATCACATCTCAAACTGAACATATATACTCGACCGTTCGTTGAAGATTAAACGAGTAGTGCAGAAGTATCAACATACATTAGCTGTGCGGCAGTAATCGGAAAGATTAGAGTTTGAAGATGTTATTCAAGGAGTATAATCCAGTGAAAGAAATTTGGAAAGAGAAAAAAGAACGGGACATGAAGAATTCAGAAGATTAGAATTTGGGAGAACACAAAGAGTAGATGCACCTGCGCCATTGCAAACGATTTTGAGCCATGTCATTCAGGGTCTCTAACCATCGGTTGCTATCATCTCGCGGTCCCCAACCAGGTAGTCTACACCTACCAACATGGCTCAGTTCACTTGTCAGTGACTTCAAGGACTTGTGCCATGTTTTGATCTGGCCGCCGCTAGCTTTCTTCCAACCTACTCCTATACCACTGAACATCGCACGTCAAGGCAGTCGGTCGTTGGGCATACGTAACACGTGTCCCAGCCATCTCAACTGATGAAGTTTCACTACTTCACCAATTGATTTGCCATCCTTACCTAGTACCCGTTTCCTAACAACTGTGTTACTTACTCGATGGTCCCATGATATACGAGCAATATTTCGAAGACACCTATGATCAAATACTAGTAACCTACGAATATCCTCTACACTTACCGGCCATGTTTCACTGCCATAAAGTAGGACGGGACGAACTGCTGCGCAGTAAACCCGTCATTTGGTTGATAGACGGATATCTCGCCTACGCCATAAACGACGCAGGTTAGCAAAAGCTAGTCGAGCCTTCTGTATCCGTGCTGAGATTTCGTCACAGACCAGACCACAAGGGCTGATGAGACTTCTCAGATAAGTGAAGCGGTCGACACACTCAACTAC